CGAGGAACCAGCTAATGACTCGTTTCAAAAACAATTCATTTCATAGACTCAGTGTCGACTCTCACTTTTGAAAGACAATAAATTTATATACGGTGCACTTTCAGATATAAATCTTTGCAGGATGTTTTCATTCCCTTAGAGCTATATTCCACACCACATGAACAGTCATTTTCAAAAATCCATGATAGGGGCTCTTTAAGAAATCATGTTCATTTCAAATACTTATATCACTGACACTGACAACAGCAGTCCGGCCAGGATATTGCCATTTAAAAAGTGAAGTTGCAGGCAGCCCTCGACTGTCATGTTGTGTTTTGGTCTGATGCTCCTCCCTCCACCGATCTACCAATCACGGAGTCAGTAGTGTTGCAGCATTCGGGTTGCCAGCTCTTCTCTAGTTACCACAGCTGCAGATACAAACGTGTGGGATAAAAAAATGTTGGATCCTGCAGCCTATCTGGCAACCTCGAATCAGGGCGGAGGGGGAGCGGATACACCGCTCTACAGTAAATTAAAACTGATTGCAGTACCAGTTTTGGCCACAATCTTACATACAGCTCCTTCAAAAAATATATATTAATCATTAAAATTTATTATTATATTTTGATGGCAAATTAGTTTTTTAATTTGTTATTTCAAGGGCTAAAAAATAAACAAAGTCTGTGTGTATAAATATAGATGAATGCCACAATTCTCAATATAATATTGAACCGTTCGGTACGACATCCATGGTTCAATACGCTCTTGTGAATTGCGTTTTTTTTTTAAATAACATGCTCAGATGATTTATGCACAATAAATCACGTTGGCTCTGAAGTCACAGATTTGACTGTGTCATTTATAGTTTTGTTGTGTGTTTAGATCCTGCCGTTCCGTGCCAGAGTGCTGAAAGCTCTCGGTGTGTGTCTGGATGACCGAAAGAGGCTGGTGAGGAACGAGGCTGTGGCGGCTCGAGGGCAATGGTGAGGCAGACGCACATTCAAGCCCTGCAGGTTTCACACGCCGCGTTTCCACTGTTGGGCCAAAAGCGAGTATGCTAGTGCGTGCCAGTCGCGTTTCCACCGTCACTTTCGGGGCTTCATCTGGGGTTTTTGACCCGCCGAATACCTTGGCCAACTGGGGCTTGAGGAGTGGTTACGAACAGAGTTTACCCGAGTCAGGAGACCGTCAACATCGCTGCTCATTTCCCATGTTTTAGACCTTATTCAGAGCAGCGCCATGGCAGGTATGAAAGTGAGGCCGTGAGGGATAGACTTACCAATGGCATCCGCTGTAAAAAGCTGAATAAAGCTCCTAGATTACTTTGTCTTGAGTTTTTTGTCAACTGAAATTTCTTGGAAAGGTATTTTTCCAGTGTTTCATGAGCAGAACAATCCGAAAACACATTAAATAACAGTACAGCCCATTGAAGAGATGCAAGTCTATCCCTCACAGCCTCGCTTTCATTCTCATTAAAAATCAAAGATGGCGCTGCCGTGAATGAGGCGTATTATACCAGACTCCTCCACACACAATTGAGCCTACAGGCTAATAGAGGCAACCGTGGTGGACAGTCAAGATGGTTGCATTATGGTTGGCTCATAAATGTAGTCCAGGGTTCCTACGCAGTTTGGAAAAGTATGGAATTTGATTTGAGTAATTTCCAGATCTGGAAAAGTATGGAAAAAGTAAATCACAGTATGAAAAAAATGTGATGTTTCCAGACTATTGTACCTATTTCGTTTTCTAAATATAAAATTAATCACTTCTAAATGTATATAATATGCAACCGTCTTTTTCATGGCGTTTGGATTAGGCTGCCAGCGAGCGCTGCCTAAAGATCGTTTTTACACTTGATCTGCCAGAGTCTAGGTCTGCAGTGATTAGTTGTTACGTTGTTAGGCAGCAGTTGCCATCACAGCGCCCCTACCTCAAACAGAGTTTTACTAAACATCTTTGACTTTGACATCTTTGACTAAACAACTAAACATGACTTTAGCTCTATTTTCTAATTTTCTGGTTAATTGTACATGATCATCCCTTCTGTTTCTGTAGGGGTGTACAGTTATTTAAATTTACAAAATTACAAAAATGAACAACATTGCACTGTACAAATGTACAAATTTAACATGATAGCATACACATTTTGACTCCGAGTGTAACATACTTGTCGGTGCTGATAGCATTGTGGGTAAGTGCGTCACCATGAAGCGCCGTTGTGAGACGACCACCATTCGACCAGAAAGAAATCATATAACCATTCAAATAACTCCAAAGCTGTTCAGTTCAGCTACAAAACCTGCATAGTTCCCCTTTAAATATGGTTGGAAAAATCTGTATGAGGTCTGGAAATTTGAGTCTGGAAAAGTATGGAATTTTGAAATGGAAATTGTGTAGGAACCCAAACGAAGACTCGATCTTAAAGATTTTTTAAGTAAAATCCTACCCATAGCCCTTTTAAGTAAAGACCTAACGTTCGCTTCAGTCATGCTCGCGTCGTTCTATAGATTTACAGATCCAGTTGTTTATAGATTTCATGTTTTGAGCTAGTGCTGCGAGGCTACTGGCCCAACAGTGGAAACAACTTGATTTTGGGCTGGGTGCTTTATGTCCGAGGCTATTGGGCCTGTTTATTTGCAGTGGCTCGACAGTGTCTAATATTGCTTTCCTCATCCTTAGGTTTTTGTTAGGAAGCCCCGGGGGAAGATAAGCAGATGAATGCGCCTCAGATCACCGCTCACAGCCTTTGATTTTACTTCCTTATCCCCTTTTTTATGATGTGGCATGAGGTTGTCCTACCTGGCCACAACAATGGCTGAACAAACTGTCGGCAGCCGAGAAGTGCTTGAACACGAACCCCATTGGACCTTCAACAGCGGACGCTGAATCAAGATGGCAAGAGTAAATCACACACACACACACACACAAGCCTCATCGTGTGCTATTATCATTTCTTCAATCACGTCATGTCCATATTATAGGAATGTTAGATGCTGGATCGTTGAATGTGCAGTTGATACGACTGTCCTGATGTCAGTATTTTTAAACTGATGTTACATTAGCCTCAAGACTGACAAAACTGATGCCAAGAATATAAACAATATTTAAATGTCAAATAACCTGTCAATAAAACTTTTTGTAAATGTGTACAAGTCAAAGAAGTCAAACGTAATGTGTTTTAAAACTAAAGGTTTAGATTGTGGTAATGTGCTCTGTCGTAATTTCCCAGTTGGACCTGATGTTTTATATCACACCAGTTCATTTGTACAGTAATTGCTGGACTGGCATTTACATGAACCTGACCTGCGCATTTCAGATATCACACAATCATCAACAACACCAAAATGTTTTCAGCTTACTTACATTTATTTCGCATTTCATCCAGAATTCTGAGAACATACTGAAAATATTCAAATGAATATAAAACATGGGAAACTGAAAATACTTAAGATGTAATTTGCGTGCGTTAACTACATTAGCTAACGTCAACTAACAATGAACAATACTTCTACGAAAAAAACGTCAAAAAAACATTTACGAAAACATTTTTCAAATCAAGTTGTTTCTGTTGACGTTAATGCACTTTAAACTAACATTTAAAAAAAATTGTTCATGGTTTAACGTTAACAAAGATTAATTAATAAATACTTCAAAAAAATATATGTCGACTTATGTATTAACTAATAAATGAGACCTTGTTGTAAAGTGTTGCCGAAACCTTTTCGTTTTAGGATTTAGAAAATTTTTTTTAAATAAATTTATGAAACGAAAAAGTCTTTTTATAAATAAAAGAGTCAGTAACAATTCTAAGAAACCAATAAAAAAAGGTTTTTAAATTTGACCATGTTATTACTTGCAAACCGGGAACAATACAAACACCAAAACATCCTGAAATACACTCACCTAAAGGATTATTAGGAACACCATACTAATACTGTGTTTGACTCTCTTTCACCTTAATTCTACTTGGCATTGATTCAACAAGGTGCTGAAAGCATTCTTTAGAAATGTTGGCCCATATTGATAGGATAGCATCTTGCAGTTGATGGAGATTTGTGGGATGAAGCTCCCGTTCCACCACATCCCAAAGATGCTCTATTGGGTTGAGATCTGGTGACTGTGGCGGCCATTTTAGTACAGTCAACTCATTGTCATGTTCAAGAAATTCGAGCTTTGTGACATGGTGCATTATCCTGCTGGAAGTAGCCATCAGAGGATGGGGACATGGTGGTCATAAAGGGATGGACATGGTCAGAAACAATGCTCAGGTAGGCCGTGGCATTTAAACAATGCCCAATTGGCACTAAGGCGCCTAAAGTGTGCCAAGAAAACATCCAACACACCATTACACCACCAACACCAGCCTGCACAGTGGGAACAAGGCATGATGGATCCATGATCTCATTCTGTTTACGCCAAATTCTGACTCACCATCTGAAATCGAGACTCATCAGACCAGGCAACATTTTTCCAGTCTTCAACTGTCCAGTTTTGGTGAGCTCTTGCAAATTGTCGCCTCTTTTTCCTATTTGTAGTGGAGATGAGTGGTACCCGGTGGGGTCTTCTGCTGTTGTAGCCCATCCGCCTCAAGGTTGTGTGTGTTGTGTCTTCACTGCATACCTCGGTTGTAACGAGTGGTTATTTCAGTCAAAGTTGCTCTTCTATCAGCTTGAATCAGTCGGCCCATTCTCCTCTGACCTCTCGCATCAACAAGGCATTTTGGCCCACAGGACTGCCGCATACTGGATGTTTTTCCCTTTTCACTCCATTCTTTGTAAACCCTAGAAATGGTTGTGTGTGAAAATCCCAGTAACTGAGCAGATTGTGAAATACTCAGACCGGCCACGCTCAAAATCACTGAAATCACCTTTCTTTCCCATTCTGACATTCAGTTTGGAGTTCAGGAGATTGTCTTGACCAGGACCACACCCCTAAATGCATTGAAGCAACTGCCATGTGATTGGTTGATTAGATAATTGCATTAATGAGAAATTGAACAGCTGTTCCTAACAATCCTTTAGGTGAGTGTACATGTTAATTGTATTACGGAAAATATTTTATAATGAGAAACGTAAAGAATAAAACATATTTATGTGAAATTTTTTTCGCCCAGTAGTCTCAGACTTCTGGAGCCCATCGCAAACTACACACGCATTTCATATGTAAAAGGGTGTTAATTCGAAAACATTGGGAAATGTAAGCAAATGTTTGACTAACTTCAATTCAACAAAATGCACGGACCACTTTGGAAATGTTTAGACATTCAAACACATGGTGAAAAACAGTTTCATAAAGGACACAGCTCAAAGATTCCCGTCATGATCGCCATTTGAATCTTTGAAGTTAAAAAAATATAAATATTCCACAGATGTCACCAAAATCCACTTACATTAAGTCTTTGGCACCAAGAACTACTTTGAACTCGGCACAAGGATCTCACGCTGTAGCATAAACACATAAAAAATGAAAAGACGACCTGAAGGTCAGCAGTCCTTGATTTCTAAAGGTAAAGGTCAGAGGTGACGCAGAGCCCCTTCAGTCAGAGTCTGAGATATGGACTGATCTGTTCATATGACCACAGTGTTGTTCCTGTATGCAGGACAGTCCCATAACAGGCCATCCTCATGAGGAAGATGAGCGGAGGGCAACAGAACTCGCGTTAGCCAGTCACTGAAAGACAATAAAACACTGATTATTAAATATTCACTGTAAAATTGTTGTATAAATAATAATAATTAAAAAAAAAATATGGTAAACATCTTACCTCCGCTTCTCAACACCAAAAAACCTTCTCCAATTGTTCAGTATTCCATGGTGGTATGGATTACGGAAAATCTGTGAACAGAGTGTCGAGTTTTAAATTATAATACTACATTTTTATAGATGTAAATTAGTATAGATATTTTTTTATGGTGTAAATGCATGTGTGGTGTCGTCCTCACTTTGCCCCTCAGCTTGAGTCGTGTTCTCTCTCGGTTGTTGATGTGTCTCTCCACACTGGTTTCTGCTCTGGTGATTAGCACTGCGTGCCACAGTGTGAGGCTTCCCAGAGCCACCGACACTGAACTGGCGGACAGAGGAGAACACGCTAGAGACGGCAGGAGTTAAAGATGAATGTGTGGAAATAAGCGGTCTCACCTCGTCAACACCCACAGATAAACCAGGCTCTTGTGCAGCATTTTCTCCTCACGGGTGAAGGAAGGAGGCGGCGTCTGATAGGAGCTCTACAAACACAACCATCGTTATGTTCACTGTTATCATCATGCTGTCATTCATAACCTACCTACACTTACTACTGGTCGGTGTGAATACCCTCCCCTTTAGATTAACCCGCCCCCAGGACCGCATCCCCCTTTAGATTTACCCGCACCCAGCTAGGGCTGCACAATTAATCGAATTTGTAATCGCGGTTACAATTATGAATGCCACAATTATGTAATCGTTCAAAAGCACAATTATAAAAAGTCCACTTACATTATTGTGTGTACTTAATGTTTTTTTTACAGCTTATTTTAAGGGTTTTTTCCCCATTGTTTTAATTTTAGTTAGTGTAACATTATAATTATAATTAGCATTAAAACAACACTATCTAACATTGTTAACTTAAAATAATGTTTCCAAAATCGTATCAGTGGTTCATCAAGTAGTAACAGGGTGAAAGGCACTTCTGCCGTCGCCTAATGGGTTCTGTATCACTTTTACTGGCGCTATGTAACTTCGGGGTTCGGGTAGGAACCCGACCACAAAAAGAACTACAAAATTCGACTGCTTTACATCAAGCACTACAATAGTCATTATTTCGTTTTTCTTCGTTTCTGATGTCGCAATACATCATCCTTTCTTGAAATAATGTAACATACTCTACTTTGTCTGTGGACATATTTCATTGTAAAGCCGCTGCTGGATAAACAGCGAGCGTGCGTGCGACGGTAGGCTAAATTATTTTATGACAGCGGCAATGTACAATTTCGTTTCCAACCAGTAGGGCGACCGAAGACGAAAAGTTACTTGGTGTTACTTTAAACCATAGAAAAGCATTGAAAATTTTTCAGGAGTTTTCAGCTGTTTTATTTTGATATAACAATTTGCATGCTGTCACTTCGAACAATGGCATAAAGCTGTTCGAAACATCATTCAGTGTAAATTGTGATAATCGTAATTAATAACCGCAATTATAATTTTAAGGCAATAATCGACAATTATGATTTTTGTCATAATCGTGCAGCCCTACACCCAGCCCACCTCCCCTTCAGATTAACCCGCCCCCAGGACCACCTCTGCTTCAGATTAACCCGCCCCCAGGACCACCTCTGCTTCAGATTATCCCGCCCCCAGGACCGCCTCTGCTTCAGATTAACCCGCCCACAGGACCGCCTTTCCTTCAGGTTAACCCGCCTTCAGGATCGCCTCCCCTTCAGATTAACCCACCCGCCCCCAGAATTGCCTCCCCTTCAGATTACACCCCCCCCCCCCCCCCCCCCAGGACCGCCTCCCCTTCAGGTTAACCCGCTCCCAGGACCGCCTCCCCTTCAGATTAACCCACCCCCCCCAGGACCGCCTCCCTTTAGATTAACCCACCCCCAGGACCGCCTCCCCTTCAGATTAACCCGCCCCCCAGGACCGCCTCCCCTTCAGATTTACCGGCACCCAGGACCCCTCCCTTTAGATTAACCCACCCCCAGGACCGCCTCCCCTTTAGATTAACCCACCCCCCAGGACCGCCTCCCCTTTAGATTAACCCACCCCCCAGGACCGCCTCCCCTTTAGATTAACCCGCCTCCAGGACACCTCTCCTTTAGATTAGCCCCGGCCTAAGGACCGCCTTCTCTTTAGATTAGCCCCGCCCTCAGGATTCCACCCCTTTAGATTAGCCCCGCGCCCCAGGACACCGCCCCTTTAAATTAGAAAGGGTCACTGACCTCGATGGCGTTATAAGCGTCCAGGAACATGTCTTTGGCACTGATGCTGCAGTAGATGCAGCCCATGGTCATGAACATGCAGAAACTGAAGAAGTACCGGTGGTTGAAATGACCCACGCAGTTATTCAACCAGGCTGGAGGAGTGGCCAGTTAAGACGGAAACCACAGCAGGACGTGGTCACATAATAATGAAAGAACATTTGCTTCTCTTCACATATCGTATGTTCGTATAAATATTATTTAACGGCTGCTTCACAAGGATACGACAGTGGTGGTCCATTTTCAAAATACATCTGTGACGGAGAAAACAAAATAACGCATTATTTTATTTAAAAATTAAACTGCAGCAATTGATCCTTTTGATAACCGATTAATTTTTAAATGAAATATTTAATTCAATTAATCAAAAAAATTCAGTAATTCTTGCAATTAAACATTTAAGTACGGAGTAATGTTAATTAACAACATGTGCTTTCTATAGGGTTAGAAGGAATATGGTTTGGTTTAGGGTTAGTTGGATGTAATTATGCATAATTTACTGGCATTGCTTCAGTTAACACTAGTAACATGTGTAAAAGGACACGCAGCACATCAGATTCACTTGTGTTGCCTTGAGTTTGCTCACTGGTCTTACCGGTTGCAGATACTGCAGTGATGAGTTCTAGCTGGTTTGGGAACTATACATTTTTTACAGATAGTAACAGTTGGTATATCACTCTTTTCCTAAAACAAAAGACACAAGCATGCAACAAACACTTCATGAAATGTTAAATATTGAAAATAAAAAGTACACAATGAATGAATATTTTGGCGTAATTTTGTTGTTTCTAATTTTCTGATTGGTGGAGTTTCTTGCAGAATCATGAGTAATGTAGTTGTTCACTGAGGACATGATTATTTTAAAACGAGTTGAAATAATGCAGACTGAAAGCAAATATCATCAGTTAATAACCTCATAGCTTCCTCTGTTGTTAACGGTTTAGAAGTTATTGTTAAAAATCAGAACTAGTTTTACTTCCAGAAGTTAATTCACCTTATTCCTGACGACCTTACTGCGTTTTGAATTATGGGCGGCACTTCCGGTCTAGGGAACTTCCATTCAAAAAGGCAGCTTAAAGTAGTTCACATTTTGATGAACGAGTTTGAACAGGAGAGTCACAAATGCGCATCACAGAACAGAGCAAGGAGAGCATTTGAGCTTATAAAACTTAAACTTTGTTATACTGATCGTTTTGCTTGATAAGACCCTTATTCATCGTTTGAAATCATTTAAAGCCCTTTGAACAGTTTGCAGTTTGCACTGAAACTGTCTTGGACCTTGAACCGTTTGGACCCCATTGAAGTCCATTATATGGAGAAAAATCCTGGAATGTTTTCATCAAAAACCTTAATTTCTTTTCGACTGAAGAAAGAAAGACATGGACATCTTGGATGACATGGGGGTGAGTAAATTATCAGCAAAAGTTTTTTTTTAAAGTGAACTACTCCTTTAACGGAAGTTACACCCATAATTGGCGCAGGAGTAAGGTGGATTGCTTACATAAAATGTGAAATTGTAAAAAATCTGCAGGCACCTGTGGTGGGAAACCCGGACACGTGGTGATGGCTTTATAGTAGTGGAAGACCAGCATGAGGAGGTTCCAGTGGCCGTAACAGAGGTGCCAGAGGATCCAGTGAAGCGGGTACGTGCTGAAGATGATGGGCAGAACACACAGATACACGATAATCACGATGGAGCTGGTCAAGGTGATCACCAGAGACACAAACACCTTCACGGGGGAAACAGAGATGAGGGATTAGAAATGGTCAATTCTAAATGGACAGCTAAACAAAATAATGTGCAATTTACTAGAGGTTCTGACAAAATGTTGAAGTCCCCCTGGCCTGTAGTCAATCATTTTATCACTTTATCATAGCTTGAATGTAACTCGACACCCTTCCCTCATTTAGTATGCGCGGTTCTATGAATATGCAAATGAGCCCCGCCTCCACTCACTTACTCAGAGATCCACTGGTGGTTTGTGACGTCAGAAACACCAGGGATTTCAAACCGTGTTTTTGAGACTGTTTTTGGTTCACTGCAGTTTTAAAGGGACAATGGAGGAATTTCTCCTATCTGGCGGTGAAATTGTATTTTGCATTCAAACGAATTGTGCTCTCCAGCGCCTCGTTTTTCCAAATGCGCGTTGCATCTACGGTAGCCGTTAAAGTAGTAGTTCACTTTAAAAAAAAGCTTTTGCTGATAATTTACTCTCCCCATGTCATACAAGATGTCCATGTCTTTCTTTCTTCAGTCGAAAAGAAATTAAGGTTTTTGATGAAAACATTCCAGGATTTTTCTCCATACAATGGATTTCAATGGGGTCCAAACGGTTCAAGGTCCAAATGAGAGTTTCAGTGCAAACTGTTCAAAGGGCTTTAAACAATTCCAGACGATGAATGAACAAATCTTTTTTCGAGTCATTTGATTCATTCAATGAACAAAACAACTCGAAAAAAGATTTGTTCATTTTGATGAACGAGTTCGAACAAGAGAGTCACGAACGCGCATCACAGAACAGAGCAAGGCGAGCATTTGTGCTTATAAAACTTAAACTTTATTTATTTTTTAAATGAGTGATCGTTTCACTTGATAAGACCCTTATTCATTGTCTGGTGTCGTTTAAATTTCTTTGAAGCTGCACTGAAATTTGGACCTTGAACCGTTTGGACCCCATTGAAGTCCATTTTATGGAGAAAAATCCTGGAATGTTTTCATCAAAAACCTTAATTTCTTTTCGACTGAAAGAAAGACATGGACATCTTGGATGACATGGGGGGTGAGTAAATTATCAGCAAAAGTTTTTTTCAAAGTGAACTACTCCTTTAAGTTTTCTGACGCAGTCAGTGACAAATCCTGAGTCACTTGTCGCCTACTGGTCTAACAAAGTAATTGATTCAATCTTTATTTGAAGTGTCAAGTTGCCTACAAAAAACTGATTTGCTCCATTTTAATCGCTACCGTAGTCATCAGTGTTTATATCCGAACAACAAACTTTTATTCCAGTACTCATGTGATAACATGAAGCGGTTTCATACCCATCCATGACAGCTGCTCTCTCAGGCTCAGGGCCAACGTAGATCTGAATAGGTGTGATCGTACTTTTTGGAGGCATTATTTTGAATTGTATTTTTTGTTTGTGACACTAGAGGGCGTATGAGTATTTTGAGTATATTGAAGTAAGGTGATAATGAGTTACAGGTGCACTGATGAAAGGTCAACATACTTTTTGAGAGTTGGATTATGCAAGACTGTGCTCATGTTTTGAATCAGATATTTTGGTTCAGTATTTATTTTCGTTTTAATTGTTGTGGACAATAAATGGATTTGGCTTACCCTAAATTTATTCAAGACAAAGGTCTGTTTTCATTAGAAACAGACTAATGAAACCATCTGCGTCTCTACAGTACTCATCAAAGGTTTAATAGACTTAGATCTTGTAACGATTAATCGTGCGGCTCTAGCGTGAACTGTGCACTCGCCTTTATGATGGACGCAATATATTCAGCCCTAAAACTGTGAAGCAAATGAATTGAGAAAATAGATTTAGCTCTACCTACCACTCCAAACCAGCGGGTCATGTTGTCCACCAGCCAGTAGATGGGCTCAAAGACACAGTCGAGGACCGTGTCTGAATTGGTCAGGGCGTTGTAGTACAGGGACTTCATTAGCACCGTCCCATAGTTCCACAGGTCTCGTACTCTGTTGGTCCGCTTCCTGCGTCCTCGTCGAAGGCAGAGCCGGAACCAACGCAGGAAGAGACGCATGACTCTGGAGAGGTACCACCTCCAGCTACGCATTCCTCCTACAACACACACACACAGAGGGTCAGTGTTTCTCTTCGCACAAACACAGCAATGAAAACAGCAATACACTCTTCATTAAACTCACAAAATCAATAAATAATACAGCCTATAAAATGAATAAAATTAAAAAAGAAATGATTATTAACAATTATAAATCTATTAATAGCAAAATTAGGCAATATCTTTTTATTTATTATTTATTTATCGTATTATTATCCTTATTAAAAATGTGAGAATAAGGTCTCTATCCAAAAGAAAAAAAAATCAAAGATATTTCAGAGAAGTACATAAAAAACCAAATAAAGACACACACTGTATTTAGAAGATATTTGAGAAAAAATGTACGGGTAACTAAAGTTAAAAAATTAACAAATGATTTCAAAATGTAATAAACATTGGATTGTCCAACATACATTCATAAATACATTTAATTCATTTTTTTTTCAATTCTAATAAAATAATATAATAATTTATATAATAATAATTTTATTATAAATAATATATATATATATGTGTGTGTGTGTGTATATATATATGTGTGTGTGTGTGTGTGTGTGTGTGTGTGTGTGTGTGTATGTATATATATATATATATATATATATATATATACATACACACACACACACACACACACGTAGACATACATCATATATAAATAGAACGTTCCAAGATATTCTGGAAAAATAAATAAAAATTAATGTAAATAGTTAAATAAATACATTGTTTAAATCAACACACACAAAGAACATATTCAAATATCCGAGATATTAAATAAATAAGCAAATAACTAAAAAATAAATTGTGCAAAAAATAAATATACACATAACAATAATAAAAAAAATAAATAAAAAAAAAAAGACAAAATCTGTTAGGCACACAGAGTGTATTAAAATCCTTACCCAACTCTTATCGTTTCTGATTTTCTAAGCAAATAAATGCATTCAAATAGGACTCAATAAAAATGGTCCAGCTTGTCTGTACCAAGAGAGAAACTGTGGCATTTCCAAGAGATCTATCCCGAACTGCAACCATAGACACACACAGACAGAAAAGCATTAGTTTGATTACACAAAACGTAGTGAGATCAGAATACCTGGTCAAGGGGTGTATAACTATTGCGCAGGATTATCAACTAATGTCCGAGGCAGAAAAAAACACTAAATATTTTATCAAGTCCTTGGCAGTTCACCTTATGTAACACAACAACAACCAACTTAAGAAAAGTTTCAAGTCTCAAGACCGATGTAACCCAGCACCGCATGCACTTCCTCAGGAGGACAATAATGTCCATCTGATCCGGCCAGCGGCTGATGAAAGTGAGTATTGGTTACGAGATTGAGGCAGTGTTTTTATCCCAGTCCCATGGGGTTTTCTCAAATGAGACGCCCGCTTTTTCCAAATGTCGCAGGTGGAAGGTGAGCTTGTGGTGAGGACAATTACATGCCGTGACGTCATATTGAGATCACATGGTGTGGACAACCGTAAATAGATCAGAGTGCATCCAGACGAGAAACAGTGGATGGACAATGAAGTTGCTCAGGGGGCAAGGGCAATTTAAATTATTGTTAGCAAATGTATTGTCTGACCATTAGTACATGCTAACCCGATTCGCTTTTTTGCATTAGTCGCATGATCGGCATATTACATATTACGTTTACTGTGTACTTCTTTGTCTTGTAAATTACACGTGTAACTAATGTTTTTTGTACCTCGGCACTTTTTATCTTGGCCAGGTCACCGTTGTAAACAAGTTCACAGCAGAAATCATTCATTAATGCGCAATATTTGCCACCTTAAATTGATTTCCAGGGGCATATTCACCTATATATGGACATTTTTTTCTAAACGAGTTATGCATCATGTTTTATGTCAAATACTAACATTCAGATTAGATTATACAGTAATTACACTTATTTATACAATAATACTTAATTACACAATAATTATACAGTACCACTGTTGCAGTCAAATTAAATCATTCAATCAAAATCCATCTTTGCAGTGCAGAGGTGACACGGAAGTGGCATTAATATATTTACAGTCCATTTACAATTGCATTTAATAAAGCTATGAGGGTTTTTTTAATCAATATTCAATATTTAAATATGAAATATTTCTAACTTTAACATTTTTTACTTTAAATATGAAACTAAAACCGCCAGTAAGCGGCGGCAAGTCACTGTCTTAAAGGAGAACTCCGGCACAAAATGAACCTTTGGTCTAATAACACATCGGTATCTAGTCAACCGTTCTCTGAGATTTGTTTTCATGATAATCGAATGTAAAGAGTTTTATCTCTAAAAACTGTTTAGCGTATAACGCTAGTAATGGGGGCATTATACCATTAACAAAGCTCAAAATAGCCCCACACTAACACAGTAATATAATGAGGCTCCATACAGGCAAAACGAAGCATTGAGAACTTTGTAAGAGTACAGACTGTTTAATAAGAAGATACTTTATAAAGACAGTTCACTTCCGACAGTTCATTAATGTCCGAGGTGAATATATATCTAACTGATAATAATAATAATAAATAAATAAAACTAAAATAAACTATTTTGGGTAACACTTTATTTTAGTGTCCCTGCTACACATCTAAATACACACTATAGTAATAACAGTAAATTATGCATAAGCAACAACTAACGCTATAAACCAAACAACTGAGTACTTATTTAATTACACTGTAACAAAGACACCTTAAAAAAGGGTTAAACTTTATTTTACAGTGTCCTTGTTACTCATCTTACATGTAGTTTGTATAGTAGTTGGTATATAAATTATGCATAATTACATGCAACTAACCTTAAACCTAATCCTACCCCTATAGTAAGTACATGTAGTCAATTACGATCACTCAGTACCTAGTTTATAATTACACCGTAACAAGGACACTATGTTACCAAATAAAGTGTTACCCTTTATTTTAAGGTGCAGTGTAATTACTGTATACATTTAAGTACTGAGTGATTGTAATTAACTACATGTACTTATTATAGGGTTAGGAGTTGCATGTAATTATGCATAATTTATAGTAACTACACTATACAAACTACATGTAACATGAGTAATAAGGACACTGTAAAACGAACTGTTAACAAATTAATTAGTTTGATTAGAGTAACCCAAATTTGTTCTGCGGGGAAATAATTTATTTTTGCTTAAAAAAATAGCATTTAAACATTACATATTTACAATTTGCTCTCTGGCATCCTTCAAATCCTCCCAAAGAGTCTCAGTCACCATTCGCTTTCATTTTAAAAAGATGCAATGAAAATGGATGGTGACTGACGAGGCTGTCAGTCCCTTACAAAACGCATCAGATATCCTTTTTAACCCTTTGAAGTCCGCACCAAGAAAAAAGTGATGGAAAAAGCGTTTGGTTGAGAAGTCAGTTAAAGGGTTAAGAGTTTAACAACACGAAAGCAAACTAAAAAAGACCTGTGGACAGAATGTGTTTGCATTGGAAGCCCCTTTTCCTCTAAAAGTAAGGAGCTTTGCACTGTAATTGGAAAGGCTTATCTCTGTCACCTCTTACAGCAGAGTACACTCACATATCCTGTTAGCACGTTTACTTAACGTTGCTCGTGCACTTTGTGGATTATTTCAGGACATTTTAAGAAATTCAGGACTAAAGTAACCAGCATAGACACTGAAGAGACCATGCACGTTCGCCATCTGTCCCACACTTGACCTGGTTCCACTGCCATGGTTATGATTGGCACACTGTAACACTGAGACCGGATATATGACCTCAGGTGTTCACTTTCACTTCTGATCAGAGGATACACTTTCCATTACAACAGCAGAACAAAGACAACCCGGGTCAATATAATGGCCGAACAGACTAGTAAAGAAGTATATGAGGGCTGGTGTGTTTGTACTGTCACTGATGTGTATAACGTTACACTGTTCACATGTGAACATCACGTGAAGATGCTCATAATGCACCCCGGCAGGTAAACGAAAAAGATTAAAAAGATACGTACCACCAAATCTGGTTCCGTAAAGGTTTTCCACCGAATTGCTGATAAAATGATTCAGCTCATGTTTGCAACTGAATGAAACACGTTCACACATTCAAAATAATACACTTCTCATCTCAGCATGAACTGAGTACCAATGAAACTTCCGGTGTTAACAGACGTTTTCAGAATAAAAGTCGCGACAGCAGCGCTTTAACGCAGTGTTGTTGTTACGTTAAATCTTTGTCATTTTTCTCCACATAATTGATTTTAAACCGATATTGTATCAAATTCAAGACAGACCAACGAGATTGTTTAGTTATACACCGTATTCACGGCAGCACCATATTTGATTTTTAATTAGAATGAAAGCGAGGCTGTGAGGGATAGACATGCATCTCTTCAATGGGCTGTACTGTAATTTAATGTGTTATCTTTATAGTTATCGCTCTTGGTATGAATGGGGCCTTTAAGTGTTTTAATTAAGAAGAATTACGACTATGGTACTCAGGTGCTACGTTCCCTTTAAGGTTACCACGGGTTACAGTTTCCTTGTGAGAACGAGGCGCATTGACGTCAATGGCAGGCTTTGATTGGTGTTTTACCATTTCCGGTTGGCAGACGTCCAAGCGCCTGTGAAGAAGAGTTGTTGCGCCGTCTCTGAATAACGGAATAACGCAGAAGCCGAGTCGCGTTATAAAGGCTCGGTAAGAAATAACGATACTCGAAATGTCATGTTTCTGTCGAGTAGATGTAGCGCTAAACATCTATAACGATCGGCAAATGCTGTAAATGTCATTTGTTTATGATACAGATAAAGATGGCGACCACTCAGCGGCCTTCGGCTAGATCACTCAGGAGCCTGTTATATTTTATTTGTTTTAACATTTAACCTTCTTGTTAAGGTTTCGAGGGCATTTTAGATTACGGCATGTCTGTTTTTGAATTGCGTTTTGTTGTGTATTAAAATGATATTTTCACATTCTGTTGTTCCTGTGAAATGGGTTTATACAGCGTTCATCCTAAATATACTAGCATTCTGATTGATGTTGTCGAAGTGTAAAATAATTTTATGTCTAATAATAATACTAATAAGCAACATAAAGTTGTTTTTCTGTAAATAATGAATCATAGGAAACGCATGAAGTGAATCAAACTGCACAGGTGTGTTGAAAACAAAGATAATCTCCAGATTATTTCTGACATCAATCTCATAAATGATGCTGTAATCCTGTTCCTGTCCTCTAGCTGGGTCAGAATGTATTTTCATCATGTGCAGACTTGCTATTGTTATTAATTATGGAACATTTACATATCAGAGTTTCTCAATATTGTAGGAAAGACCACATCATAACAAAGTACATCCTACATCATTTGAATAATGCAGAATATCTTTATTCAAACATGACGGATGTTTTTTTTTTTTTTTTGTCGTTTTACTGCAATTATTGGTTTTGTAATATTTAATGTAATACAAAATAGATGTCAGACCTTCTGTATTTGTTTTCACGGATCCCTCATATGGTTATTTATTGATTGAATTGACTATATTTCATGTCTCACCGCAGGTCAGAGGTCAGATCCAGCGTTCATCATGGCATCCGGCAGTGCGGGCAGTGAGGAGGAGAAGAGTCTGAGGGAGTGTGAGATATACGTGCAGAAACACAACATCCAGCAGCTGCTGAAGGACTGTATCGTGCAGCTATGCACCTCACGGCCCGACAAACCCATGGCCTTCCTCAGGGAACACTTCGAGAAGCTGGAAAAGGTACATTAGGATCATTCTGACGGAGATCTGGAACCCTTGCTGAACATCACTTTACATTAAGAAAGTTGTGTTTAATAAAACAATTAGTGAGCGTGAGTGAGAGTGAGTTCATTTTTATAAACCAGTGGCAAAAGCAATATAATATATGACATCCATTTTCAATAATAATTGTAATTATTTACCCAGCATATTAGGCCTCATGTTATTTAATAGAGTGCCGAAGTTATGACGTCACTTTGTAGACCAAACCGCGGAAGTGAGTTTAGCATTTTAGCACTTCAGGTTCCCTCGCCCTAAAGTCTGTTTGAATGGGTTTTTGCTAAATCGCCTGAGATAAGGTCTGTGGTGAACAAAGCCTCTAAATATTTTCACGTTTTGCTCTATGACATAAAACACACAGTTATAACCTGCATGTGTTTTTTTTATTACTTTATATAGGCTTCAAAATGTATACATTTTGGATTAACTTGTAAAGATTATCTTGATAGACAAAACGTGTAAGGGTCATCACTCTTTGTTGAACACGGATCTTATTTTTTGCGATTTTCCAAAAGTCTATGGGGAAAATGCATAGCTTTTCGATCTAGGGGACCCATGCGCCGCTAGCTTCCGAGTCGTCCTACAAAGTCACGTCATAACTTCAGCACTCTATGTGTAGTTCAAATATGCATATGTTAAAAAAAATTAAATATCTTTTAATGTAATTAACAATTTGTTAGTATCATTTATATACTTTTCATAAAGTTTTTAATTAGCACTTATATATTATATTTTTGGTTTTCTGTTTATTTTTTAGTATTTTTGTGTTTTTTTGTTGTTGTTTTTTGGTGTGTATACATCAAATTTAATTTTATTTCTGTTTTAATTAATTGTGAATGTTTATTTATTTCCAGTTAGCATTCTAAACTAAATGAAAATTAATAATGTTGCTTTGGAAACTAATTGAAAAAAGTTTTAAGTTTTTAGCTATATTTGATTTTTATTTTATTTCTTTCTATCTCATATTTATTTCTATTAACAAAAATAGTTTATATTAATAATAATTATATATATATATATATATATATATATATATAAATTAAATATTTATATTTATAAAGATTTTTCGTCTGCATAAGATAAAAATGTACCCTGTTTAATTTCTGAATTGCATGTTGTAGATAGGGCTGTCAAACGATTAATTGCGATTAATCGCATCCAAAATAAAAGTTTGTGTTTACATAATATATGCGGGTGCACTGTGAATAATTATTTTTTTATATATATATATATATATATACACACATATATATACACAAACAAATCCCGCGTGTCATGGCGTTGGGGGAAGGAAATATTAGGAAATACATAAAGAAAATATTATAATAATACACAAAAATATTATTTATATAAATATAAAAAATGTATATTATTTATATATAAAATATTTCTTAAATATATACATGCATGTGTGTGTATTTTTATATATAAAACAATTATACACAGTGCACCCACATATATTATGTAAACACAAACTTTTGTTTTGGATGCGATTAATCGTTTGACAGCCCTAGTTGTAGGTGTTATTGTGAACGATTCATCCATGCGTCTTCTGTTTGGTTTTTTTACCTTCATTTTCTGGATTTTCCAGTGAAACTGGACTAGTATGCTGGACTTCTCTTATCATTTAGTTTGGAAAACCCTCTCCTTTCTCACACTAGCCTCAAGTGCAACTCCCACATCGCAAAATCCAACAACCGATGGATAGAACCAAGTCCTCCTCTACATTTTGTTTCATTCGGATTTGTGTCACAATACAGAAGAACAGATCTAAAGATACTTCTGTTTCACTGGGACTTCAAATCCAACCATAATCCTCTCCTTTTTTCTTCTTTAATGTATCTGCTTGTGCTTCACACACAGGAGGAAGCGAAGCAGCTCCTGAACCAGCAGAAGGCCAGCTCTCGCTCGGACTCTCGTGAAGATGAGGCGTCTCCTCCCATGAACCCCGTGGTGAAGGGTCGCAGGCGGAGAGGAGCCATCAGCGCTGAGGTCTACACCGAGGAGGACGCCGCCTCCTACGTCAGGAAGGTGTGTATGTCTCACAGTCACGCGATCTGTGTGATGTCCGTCAGGTGAAGCAGTCATGTGTGTTCTTCTGTCTCTGTGAAGGTCATCCCTAAAGACTACAAAACCATGGCCGCTCTCGCCAAGGCCATCGAAAAGAACGTGCTCTTCTCACATCTGGATGACAACGAAAGAAGGTGACTTCATTTATTTATTTATTTATTACTATATTCATTAGGGGTGTAACGATATTCGAACCGAACCGAAAAACCGCGATACAGAACTCATTGTGTACCGAACACGAACAAGGCGTGTCCGCCCATACCGGATCAATGGACCTCATGTCTTATGTGTACAGTACACAACGAATTCAGCTTTGTAGCCTAACCACCATTAACTCCAAATGAAGAGTTTGGTTCCAAAACGCTATAAATCCATTTTGATGAATTTCAGTAAAACTGTGTTTTCTTTAGCAAGATAATGGGAAGATGAAAACCACTATTTTCTGTTTCAAATTTTCACATAGCATTTGTAGGTTATAATAACAATAAAAAATTAAATCCAGAAAAATTAAAAAAATTAAATTAAGTCCATCTTCTTCCTCACGTAAATGATTTGATTTCGATCGTTTACCAATGCAGGATGCCTTACCCTCCGCAGGTTCACCAATGCTGTCAAAATTATCCACTTTTTTGTTTGTTTGTTGATCGAAAAGTACAAAATAGATGAGTAAACCTAGGAAGCCAGAGTTAAAGCGCTGCCGTTACTGCTTACATTGCGTGGAATGGTGCGTTGTGATTGGTTGAGCGGATGTATTGCATTTAGCAGAAAAGGGAGACTGGTGTTTGTCGCAGTTTGGAAAGAAAGGGAGAAAACATTACATAATAACACGGCGGATATCGCATTTTACGTCAAATTAAACATTGACTTTTCAATAGCGACCAGATACAATACAGATTTTTGCTGTAACTCAATTTTTTTTAATATGGCGTTTATCGCGTTTTGGAACCAAACTCTACAAATAACAAGCTCCGTGTTTTGTTACTTTCGATAATAAGCAAGGTGTAATCTTTCAAATTCTGTCTAGTTGATTACGATATTCAAACAATAAGCGGCGTTTTGGCGCTCTTTGATGTGGCGTGACAGACCGCTGTAGGCCTACTAGCTCCTCATTTCAAGCGGCAGCGTGGCGCGCGAGTAAACGCGATCATCTCTTCCTCCGTTACATCATAACTCGTGTAATGGCTCAATCAGTGTTTCAGCAGCAGAAAGACGTCAATAAAACAGCATAGCTTGTCACTAGCATTATATTTAGCTCAACAGGAAAGTGATTGGGTGTCCACAACTTTGGTTCCTAATAAAGAACTCTTGCACTAAATAAATGCACTATGTTAGCCTATATATTATATTTTACTTAACCTGTTAATGCTATCTTGATTATTTAATGTATGTTTAAATTATATTTCATGAAAATGACAACTGTGTAAATTATTATATTTCAATAACAACACAAGTTAATGCAAAAACTGCCTTATGTTCAGTTTACATGTTTTCATACAATGTGGTGTGTGTTGATTATAATATCAAAAAAATAAGTAGCATCTGAATTTAGGTTGAAAGTCTAGGCTACAGCCTTTAATGTTATAGTAATGTGCGGCTCCCTCTATAGTTTACAGCAATAGCAGATTATTTTAAATCCTTGTGAAACGTTTAATTGTAATTGAATTAATTTAAAGACAGACAGTTTTTTTTCATTAAACCACTGTTTTAAAAAACAAACAAAAAAAGCAACTTTAGCTTTAGCCAAACCGAGACGTCAAAACCGTGGGAAAACCAAACCGTCAATTTTGTGTATCATTACGCCCCTGATATTCATGCACTGGCTAGTTTTGAGATTTTGGGCTGTTTGACTTTTCATGACTATTTTCAGACTAGTGGAAAAAAAACATGCAACATACACTTTTAAGGGTCTATTTGAATATAGATTATATCGATTTCAATTTATATCTTTAAAGTCTATTTTTCACTTCTTTCACTACACTTAAGCAGCTTTACACCCATATATTCCGAAGGTTTATATATCATTCGCCTGATTTATAACATTTTATTCCTAAAAAACAATTCGTTTTTTTTTTTTATATTTATTGAGTGATAAAAAGAGATACCCAAAAATAATTTTAAACTTGGCTTAATCCAGAGTTCAGATTTTTGTTCTGGAGTAATTTGCAAATTAGTGCATTGTTAATAAGATAATGCCTCATTTGTATATTTAGATTTGACGTGATATAAAATGCAAAGCTGGGGAAATATGAAGAGATCTGTTAGTTAAGTGTTTACCCTTCAAACCTGATGTGTGTCTTGCTTTAAATAAATGTAGATTAATTTATTGAGCGAGTTTCTCTTCTGCTCTCTCCTACAGTGACATATTTGACGCAATGTTTCCAGTCACCTACATTGCCGGAGAGATTGTCATCCAACAAGGTAGAACCTTAAAAACACTTATGAAGAGTCATATTAACATTATTTGTACATTTGATTGACCTTCACTTTTTTGTTTCACACTTGTTTCCTAGGTGACGAGGGCGATAACTTCTATGTCATTGACCAGGGGGAAATGGATGTAAGTTACACCTTCACTGTTTAGGACGCATTCATAGAATAAACCCAGGTTACACTTTACAATAAGGTTTGTTTGTTGACATTAGTGAACTACAGTAGTTAGCATGAACCAAAAACGAACTGCACATATACAGCAGTTATTCTTTGTTAATTTCAACATTTGCTAATACTTTATTAAAATCTTGTTAACATTTAATGCACTGTGAAATAACTGTGCACAACTAACATGAACAAAGATGAACTAATACAGTAACTGATTGCTCATCATGGTTAGTTAATACTTATTGTAACGTGTTAGCATAAACCATAAACGTTTTGAACAATTCCTGATGGAGAATCTCCTCAGGTGTATGTGAACAGCGAGTGGGCCACCAACATCGGAGAGGGCGGCAGTTTTGGGGAACTGGCTCTGATCTACGGGACCCCGAGAGCCGCCACCGTCAGAGCCAGGACCAACGCCAAGCTCTGGGGCATCGACAGAGACAGCTACAGGAGAATACTGATGGTGCGTCTCTCCTCAACTCACACACACACTCACACACACTCAAGACGCATTTCATTCTACTAAACATCCTGTGTTTGATTATAGGGAAGCACCTTGAGGAAGAGGAAGATGTACGAGGAGTTCTTGAGCAAAGTATCTATTTTAGGTAATTACACCTATCTATCTATCTATCTATCTATCTATCTATCTATCTATCTATCTATCTATCTTTCATCTGTTTTATTTTACCTGTCAATCAGATCTGCCTATCTATCCATCCGTCCATCTATCTATCCATCCGTCCATCCATCTATCTATCATCTGTTGTTTTATCCATCTATCTCGTTTTATCTATCTTTGTCTATCTGTCTTTGTCTATTGTTTTATCTATATATATCTATCTCTTGTTTTATCTATCTTTGTCTATTGTTTTATCTATCTTTGTCTATTGTTCTATCTATCTATCTATCATCTGTTGTTTTATCTATCTATCTCTTGTTTTATCTATATTTATGTCTATCTATCTTTGTCTTTTGTTTTTCTATCTATCTATCTATCTATCTATCTATCTATCTATCTATCTATCTATCTATCTATCTATCTATCTATCTATCTATCTATCTATCTATCTATCTATCTATCTATCTATCTATCTATCTATCTATCTATCTATCTATCTATCTATCTATCTATCTATCTATCTATCTATCTATCTATCTATCTATCTACTATCTATCTATATCCTGTCAATCAGTCTGTTATTTTACCTTTCTGTCTGTGATTGTATCTCTCTGTAAGTCAGCTAGTCTATTGTTGTATTTGTCTGTCTATCTATACATGTATCTTAATCTCTGTCTATAATTTTCCTACTGAAATTGTATTACTGTAAGTGACACACCGGGAGAGAGAGAGAGTTCGTGTAACATGAGTGTGTGTGATGATGGCAGAGTCTCTGGATAAGTGGGAGCGTCTGACTGTGGCTGACGCTCTGGAGCCGGTGCAGTTTGAGGACAGTCAGAAGATCGTGGTCCAGGGAGAACCAGGAGACGAGTTCTTCATCATCCTGGAGGTGGAGTGTGCCGTCTGCTCAGAGCGTGTGTGTGTGTGTGTGTGTCTGTGCAAAGTCTAAAGTCATGTCTCTTTCCTCAGGGATGTGCAGCCGTTCTGCAGCGCAGGTCAGAAAACGAGGAGTTCGTAGAGGTCGGCAGGTTAGGACCGTCAGACTACTTCGGTAAGTGTTGATAAACATGGATGTTCCAGTACATGTTCTTAAAGGGATAGTTCTTCAATAGTCCACTTTTAGATAAGTAACTTTGCAACTACATGTCAGCTAACATCATTAGGGTGTTAGTGTCAGGTTCGGGTTAGTAGAATAATTTTGGAGCATCAAAATAAAGAGTTAGCAGATATTAAGCAGTCTATTAATACTCTAATGACTGCTAGTGGACATGTAGTTGCAAAGTTACTTATAGTTAATAGAATGTGGACTATTGAAATAGTGTAGCTTCTGTTCTCCATACACAAAAGTAAATAGTAAGTTTGGCAGTGTACATCACCATCCACATTTCATGCATAGGAAATGGAAGCTTAGATATTTGCTAAAGATCTCAGTTTGTTTCACGGAAGAAAGAAACTAATACGACATGAGAGTAAACAATGGCACAGCTTTCATTTTTGTATGAACTGTCCCTTTAACTTCAAATATATTAATACAGTTGGTCTCTGGGTCCCACTTTATATGTAACTTTTCTTCTAAAATGAATCCTTTTTTATTGCCTGTGTGTGAAGGGGTTGTAAACGCACATTACAATGATCCACTTGTGGGGTTTTGCTATTACCGCTGAAGGCCAGTTTTCCTATTTCTGTGTGAAGTCTCCGGGTCGGATTTTCTTGGAGCATTAGTTGAGTCCGGCTGTCTATTGTTGTACTGTTGCAGTGGGAGTTTACATGAGTTGTGTGATGCTTTCTCCAGTGTGTGTAAAGTCTCAATGTGGCCGTGTACCATGAGTGTTCGCTCTTGTAAAAACTGGTTGCAATCTGAAACATCACCGATAGAGGCCGCTAAAAAAACATTTATCACCTTTAAGTGGAACATTTAAATGAATTATTTGATACTAGAGATCGACCGATAAAGGATTTTGAAGGCCGATACGGATACAAATATTTTTGGTTTTTAAAATCTGAAATATCGGCCGATATTTTATTTATTTATTTTTTTTAAACTGAAGGTGATTAGTCACAAATTTTGTCCTGCTTATTTGAGTTAAGAGAACTAATGGGGATGATCTTTTTAATTGCTATTCAAGCAACGTATGTCTCGTGACCAACTCAACGAGTGTTGCCAACTGGAACGGTGTAGAGTGCCCTCTGGTGGACAAACTATACAACTCCAACACTCATGACATGGTTCAAGCGTGTTTCGTCCATTTTTATTTTTATTTTTGAAACATTCATTTATCGGCCATTATAACTGCCGATACCGATAGTTTGGAAAATGCCTAATATCGGACGATAATATCGGTCTGGCTCTATTTGATACAGTGCACTTATTGTGTACAGACATGTTTTTTTCAGTGTTCTTCTGTTTATAAACACCTGCATGCAATCACAGCTGTAATTAATTACATCTATAATTACACTGTTGACCAAACCTGTCCCGTATCCACCTCAATAGTCGATAGCAGCAAAAGTGTTTTAGCAATGAACACAACAAACACACTCTACCTAACAATTTCTTTTTAATGTACATACATATTAGGTAAAGACACCAAATATAAAGTGTGAGCGGTCTCTGAATAATTGGATACGATGCACCTTATTCATTATAATACGATCCTTATTAGTTATCCACGAAGCTATAAAGTGCAATTAATAAAGTGTAGAAAATGTATGAAATAACATATCTGTGTTTCTCTCACCACCAGGCGAGATCGCTCTGCTGATGAACCGACCCCGCGCGGCGACAGTGGTGGCTCGTGGGCCGCTCAAATGTGTGAAGCTGGACAGGCCTCGCTTCGAGCGCGTGCTGGGACCGTGTTCAGACATCCTCAAACGCAACATCCAACAGTACAACAGCTTCGTGTCGCTCTCCGTCTGAGAACCCCCCCCCCCGTAATCACGCCGTACGCTTCTCATCCACACCTCGTACTCCCGAGCGAGAGCTTTAACGTCCCACATTTAGAGCCAAATCAAAGGACAGACAATCAACCAATCAGATCACAGTGTTTTTACCTTTAATTCCAAGCAGTAAAGAAAAACAGTTGAAATGTATTTATAGGCAAACCGTTTTGACTTCCTTCACCCTCACCGTCGCAGGTTAGTTTTTTAAGACTAGTTTTCTAAGATTAACTGCCTACATATATGGTTTATGAGTGACGTTCTGACTCTATTCTTCGAGCCTTACTGCCTCGTTCCCCTCCTCTCACAGTCACAGTCAGGAACGTGATCATATAGGAACTGTATGCTGTTTTATTACTTATTATCATTCCAGCACACACTCTTGCTATTTGTGTTCAGTTGCTTATCGTAGTATTAGTGAGGCCGTTGTTCCTGTGCGGTGTCTATCCATAAAGGTTTTATTGTGGCTGATCTGATTTGTGAAGGAAAACTCGAACCGACGGTAGTTTCTGTTCTGTTGCAATGCCAGTGCCAAACGTTGGACATTTCATTGGTACGTTCCTGCACGTGCGCCGTCACCGATTGAGAAAAGCTTTCGGTCAGGATGATTCAGTATTTACCTTTTCGTCAGTATATGCCGAGAAAAGACCAGTTTTATTTTTTAATAAGCTTATTTTTCCACAAAGGTGCACAGTGGCGTATTTAGTCGCATGTCATAATTTCGAGTGTTTCTGTGGCCATTTTTTTAAACCGGCTTGTTGCTGTTTTAACGTCGAACCAAAACGAGCGAAAGGATTACGAAATTAAACGGATAGTTCACTTTGAAATTAATTTTTGGTATGTTTTATCTTGCCTCAAGGGCATCCAAGATGTAGGTGTCTTTGTTTCCGCAGTATTTTCAATTTTGATATTTTTAGGTCAAACCGTTCTTGTCTGTCAGTCATATAATGGAGGTCTATGGTCACCACCTCAAAGAGCATGCACAGAGAAGTCCAAATTAAACATGATTTAATGACTCGTAAATGTAAGTACACATTGATGGCCTAAGACACGAAACGTTTCACGAATCGAATCATTTATATCGTTTTTACCTCCACGAAGCACCACGCCCTCAGATCTCTTTGACGTGGCTGTGGTTACAAGAGGTAAAACGATATAAATACTGTTGGTTTTTTCACACAAACCGCTCGTTTCGTGTCTTAGGCCATCAATGTGTACTTACATTTACGAGTCATTAAATCATGTTTAATTTGGACTTCTCTGTGCATGCTCTTTGAGGTGGTGACCATAGACCTCCATTATATGACTGACAGACAAGAACGGTTTGACCTAAAAATATCAAAATTAAAACTACTGCGGAAACAAAGACACCTACATCTTGGATGCCCTTGTGGTAAGCTGAAACATACCAAAAATTAATTTCAAAGTGAACTATCCCTCTAAGTTTTAACGTCAATGCCGTGGTCTCGCAAACACAGTCGGCCGCGTTCGTGAAGCAGAAAATGAAATCGGCTCTGCTCACGTTTCACGAACGGCGGCAACATCTTTGATACATTTTTATAAAAACGGATCCGTGGCGATTTGATGTTTACATGTCCGTGTTCTGTTTTGCTGTTCAACAATCCAGAGTGATCAATGTTTGATTCTCTTTATTTACAAGATGTTCCTCGTTTTAGTTTTTGAGAAATGCAGATTAAAAAGGTGTAACACATTGCTTTCCCCCAATTCTTTCAGCTGCATCTTCGTGACGTTTATTAGCTTGAGATAAGTGTCCCGTCTTCATGGCAGTGATGCTTGTTGTGTTTTCTATCTGTGTGAATGGACAGAATGGGGAATGACTGTTGAATTGGATTCCTGTAGAGTTCAGCTCACACACACACGATGATCACAGACAGGTGTGTCGGATAATCTGAACTCTACAGGGTTAGATATGCTCCTTCAAACCCAAACGCTTCTGCTGATTTATTACAGACCTCAAATGATGTTTTATTTGTCAATGTTACCCAAATGTGTCATTTCATTTCCAGTGAGTTCTGCGGAGAAATAATACTTTCTGGTATAGATCGTCCAAATGGCAGTTCAAGCAATAAAAAGGTTGGAATATTGAACAATCGGCTGCAGTGAAACACTTTATTTTCAGAGAAATGCTCAATATGTATTTCAAGTTGTCATATAGATGTTCCAGACACAAGAGGGCAGTGTTCGACTGAGAGAATTATTATTCTACATGTAGAATAACCTGTGGATAGTTCACTTTGAAATTAATTTTTGGTATGTTTTATCTTACCTCAAGGGCATCCAAGATGTAGGTGTCGTTGTTTCCACAGTAGTTTCGATTTTGATATATTTAGGTCAAACCGTTCTTGTCTGTCAGTCATGTAATGGAGGTCTATGGTCACCACCTCAAAGAGCATGCACAGAGAAGTCCAAACTAAACTTGATTTAATCACTCGTAAATGTAAGTACGCATTGATGGCAGGTAAAAACGATATAAATACACTTCGTTTTCTCACACAAACTGTTCGTTTCGTGTGTTGGGCCATCAATGTGTACTTACATTTACGAGAAATCATGTGACACTGAAGACTGGAGATACAAAGCTTTGATCACAGAAATGTTAAGAGGGAACACTTCTTTTAAATTGTAATAATATTTCATCATATTACAGTTTTTACTGTATTTCTGATCAAATAATTGTAGCATTGATGAGCAGAAGAGACTTTTGAAAAATCGAACTGACCACAAATTATTGAACAATAGTGTTTAAGGCACATTTTGGTAAAGAAAGTGTATCATCTGTGCACTCGATGCTTTCAGAAGAACATTTGAATGCTGTGATATTAATAATAATACACTTTATTCACTGCAGGAATGTAATTCCAGACATCCTGCATGTCATGTGGCATTTGCTGATTATTATTAATATTATTATAGCCTCAAATGATAAAAAAGTGCCAGCTACTGCTTCAAGTTATTATTTTTAGTTCCCATCCAACAGAAGGGTCTGAATAATTGACACATTTTGAATTATTTTAGTAATTAATGTACTTTGGAGTGCTAAAATCAGATCATGTTTTAATTGTATTATTACACTGAGTTGTGTAGAAAGCTTATAATGATGTCATATAAAGGCTTCTGTCAGGAAATGCACTGAATCAGAAAGTATGCAAATGTTTTGGCATTTTAATGAAGCGATGTGACAATTATTCATGATGACTAGGATCTGATTTAGTTTTCCTGATTTATTCACCACTTCCAGTTCACCAAATTTTGAGCATTTGATTTACAATGTCATTGATTGTGCAATGTTTCGAGACACTAACGGTGATGTGTTTAAGCCAGCTTCAACTCACTATACAATATTGCAAAAGTGAGGCGAACCACAAGCTACATCACTGCTCAGGAAACGTACGAGCAGATGAAGAGCGACTCGTAAGCGCTCTCACGGTGTTCCTCTCCTGCTGATGTGGCTGTTTGTGCTCAGACGCCACTAATGGCTGTTTGTGTAGAAAAGGACAGAAAGGGAACGGATAATCAGAGGAAATGTGCAGTTAAAGGACCACATGAATGACGTGTTTGCTGATGATGTCAGGAGACCTGAAGATCTTCTCTTCCTCGTCTGTCTGACTCCAGAGCTGACTAAACCATCTCACGGCAACCAATCAGAGGTACTGTTAGGTGCTGTAACCTTTTTAGCCAATCATGAGAAACAAGGTCATAAATATTAGATTAAAAAGCCAAAATTGTGAAATAATCAATTTGTGACATGAAAAGTCACAATTATTATAATAATTCTACTTTCTATCATTTATTTTTATCTCAAAATAATATTAAGACTTTTTATCTCAATTTCAATGTTTGTCATAATTTTGACTATGACATACCTCATCATTTTGACTAATGTGATAATTTTGACTTTTTGTACATTTACACTTATAATTATGGCTTTTTATGTCTTAATTTGACTTTTTATTTTACTTAAAGGAGTAGTTCACTTTAAAAAAAACTTTTGCTGATAATTTACTTTCCCACATGTCATCCAAGATGTCCATGTCTTTCTTTCTTCAGTCGAAAAGAAATTAAGGTTTTTGATGAAAACATTCCAGGATTTTCTCCATATAATGGACTTCAATGGGGTCCAAACGGTTCAAGGTCCAAATGAGAGTTTCAGTGCAAAAATTGCAGTTTGAACTGAAACTGTCTTTTGGACCTTGAACCGTTTGGTTCCCATTGAAGTCCATTATTTGGAGAAAAATCCTGGAATGTTTTCATCAAAAACCTTAATTTCTTTTCGACTGAAGAAAGATAGACATGGACATCTTGGATGACATGGTAAATTGTCAACAAAAGTTTTTTTTAAAAGTGAACTACTCCTTTAAAGCAGCCGTTTTAGCCAATCAAAATTATGAAATCAAAATGAATGAATGTGAGATTAAAAAATGCACATTTCTGAGATAAAAAGTTGATATATGAGATACCAAATCACAATCATGACAAATATTGTACTTTTTAGAATTCAGACAACTCATTTCGACTTGTTTAAATGATCATATACAAGTTAACTGACCTTAATTATATTTTTGACTATCTCTATTATTTTATCTCAAAATAAACTTCTCATTATTTTGACTTTTTAACTGACATAAATATGACTTTGTATCATAATTTTGACTTAAAGATGTTGTTTGGAACGTTTTTAAATAATACCACACAGACCTTCAGCCAATCAGAGAAGTGAATAATGTTCCTCCTGATGTCTTTAGAGTGCTGCAGTCCTCGAACCCGAGCTCTTCTCATTCTGTCACCTCTTATTTCCTCCTCTGTGTCTTGTAGTTACTCCGGATGATTCCACAAAGTCTGTGATCACCACATGTGTTTCTCCCAGCTTCTTCACACACTTGCCCACTGTCCTGAGCACCTGTGCCAGCCGGCGGTCCAAGGCCAGCAGGTGTTCGTCACTCAAGACCGGCGTGAGAGGGTCCCGCGACAGGGATTCCCTCATGACGTCACTCAGCCGGTACTCGGACTTTGCCAAAAGCTTCAGTCTGAACAGCGTGGAGCGCTTGATCCTGTAAGAGGTCATGGGTTTTGTGAATAACACCATCTTTGTACATACGCTTATTAAAGGTGCAGTGTGTAATATTTAACAGCATCTAGTGGTGAGCTTGTGAATTGCACCCAACAGAAGTTACAGTGGCCGACAGGAAATGATGTCATCTGAGATTAAGCTATGAGGTTTCTTTACAAAGATAAATTAAGAAATTAGGTTAACTTGATTATTCAGTAAAACGATGTTATTGCGAACAACGTGTTTTTTTTTAGCACAATTCACACACCGCGGTAATTCAGGAGAAAAAAAGTCTCCAAATGCTTCACGTGAAACTGCGATCTTCCGACCTTTTACTATCGTTTCAATTGATTTTGATTATTATGCGCGAGGGAGAGAGAGCAAGAGATTCGCCGGGCGCTCTAGCAGGGTGGCTATAGGTATAAACAATTTAAATGTAAGACTTTTTAAGACTTTTTAATACCACTTCTAAATTAAATTTAAGACCAAACTTACGATAGAAATATAAATTAAAACTGAAAATATGCAGTATACTATTTACACACAGTCCGTTCAAAAAAATGGCGAAATGACAATAACCAATTGTCAATTGCGTATGTACGGTCGCCTGTGAAGTGAAAAGACATATAGAAGACATTTTAAGACATTTTTAGAAGTCTTAAGCCTTGTATGTTTTAAATAAAGTATATTAATAAAGGCTTAGATTTAGTTTTATTAATAAAGGCATAGAACCAGTTTATTTATAGTGTACTGATAATAGTTTCATATAATTAGTTTATTAATTAAACTAATAAAAAGATAAAAAGACTTTGAGATATGTTTGGTAATTGTACCTTTTAATTAATAAATTAAAATTAATTTTCTATATTTTAGATCAATATATTTGTTTTCCTTAATTTTAATTAACCTTAACTTTATTCTCATTATAATAATTATAAATAATTGATTTCCGTATAAAATAATACTACAAACACTTAAAAATAAACAGATTAGTGCCTTGTTTTGAGGACAAGAAATGAAAACCAATGCGATATGAAGAATGTCCGAACGATGGACCTCTGTAACGGCCACCTAGTGTTCAGTAGTGTTCATGACATGTTGATATGCCTTTAAGACGCGTGATGTTGTTATGTGAGCGCGCACGCTCAGTGAGAGTGAGAATGCTCGCGCAAAGAGGAAGCTGACCGATCTATCGCGGGTTAGTTTGCGTTTACTTCCACTTTGATTTGTAGCGTTTTACAGAGTGTTTTCTTTAACCTGTTAACTGTCACCCCCCCTTTTTTGAATAGACATGAAAATGCACATTTCGAACTTAAATGGTTGTAATTCAAGAATGCTTTGGAATATAGACATATGATTGGTCTTGTTTTAAAAAAGACATTTGGCAGATTTTTGTAGAAGTGAAATAAATTAAGAAAGTGAAACAGAAAAAAAGTTATAGAAGTTTGAGTTTATGGAAATGTACAATGTAAAAATATGAATTATTCATATTTTACATAAAATATATATTTTCAAAACCTGGGCTACTCTAAAATGGCAGAAAGATCAAAGCCAAAAATCTGAACAAGTTGTGTTTCAAATTTTAGGTTGATATCTCAAAAAATGAGCTTTCAGTAAGATTTTGTTTGAGCGCAGTAACAACTTTTTCACTAGGGCACAATCAGACTCCATTACTGCCCATATAAGGGCGCCTGCATTTCCATTCGTGTTTTGAGTGATATGAACCATTATTTTCACAATTTTCATACAATTTCTGAAGTAGAGATCCTATTCAGAAGTAGCATGGGAAGTTTGGCAGATTTTGATATGAATTGAACCTCTAAGAAACACATACAAAGAACACGCATGTAAGTCATAGCTAGCTGCCACGTCACAAATGGTGAATTTATTATTTTTTTCTTGATATTTCAAACTTTTCAGACCTTTTTTTTTCCAAAATAATTGAATGGATTCTATCTTTTGAACTTTTGGCATGAAAACAAACTGAGGTATCTACAATTTTTTCATGATTTTTCATGTTTACTGCTATTTTAAAATAAAGGTCTGAACACGCCTTATGAGTATGAAAATATTCTTGTTTTATATTGATAAATTATGGCTCCTCTGTAATATATTTTGAAAATCAGTCACCAAATATGGAAACTAGAGATTGTAAGCTTTCAAATGATATATAGTTTGTCAATATTATTTAAGGTATTTACTAAGATATTATTGTTTTAAAAATATAGTGGCAAACGTCCCACCTGTGGGACGGTGACAGTTAAGTGGTTTTAACCTGTTAACATCCGCTCTTTCGACATATATATGAAGAGTGTGCTTTACTGAAAGAAAGCAACTATAAAAGGACTCGTGGAACTACCAGTTCGTTTGTATTATCTTTCCTATTCTTCATCTGGGCAGACCTCAAACTCTGACAGACGTTACAACACACAGACAGGGGTTGGATAAATATATTTTGCTTTTAAAACTGTGTTTTAATACGAGTATAGGCCTACACAAATATAGAGATCGCACCCGCGTGTCTCTAACACACACACACACAGGTTACGTTACCTTGTAGAAAATATTCGACCTGGCTGGCAGAACGATTGCCTTTGCCTGCATCTTTGAGGTGACATGACAAACACATTTAAGACCTATCCAATGTGACAATTTAATACTTTTTAAGTCTTTATTTTTAGGAAAATTGATTTAAGACTTTTTAATACTTTTTAATTACCCGCGGCCACCCTGTCTAGTCAGTGGAAAAACAAACAGCTTCTGAGAAGGGTCGCAAGTTGAACCAACTTTAAATCGGCACCAGTTCCGAACCCGTTCTTTTTTGGTGGAAAAGGGGTAATAGTAAAAAAACGAAACGTTTGTCCGTTTAGGGCCACCGTAGAAACATGTCGGTGTATTTCAATGTAAAGGGACCCGCGGTGTGTGTAGAAACTGCTCAAAACATAACGTTTCATTATGTTAGGTCTTTATACACCACTGAAAACATAGTTATGTTTATGGTATTGCATTTCTGGCAACAGATCCTTCTAAATATTACACAATGCACCTTTAAATGAGCTTCAGAATAATTTAAATATTTTTTTGTTCAATTTTAGAGAACAATCCTTACATGCAACATTGGGTCAGTGGTGCAAGAATGGACATCTCATCATGGGAATGCCGTCCAAATCTGCAGCACACAAGAAGAGGAAGAAGACCTTTCAGCCGCATCAGGAAAAAACATCATGCTTTAGTGAGTCTTAATTACGAGATACATATGATTATTCTATATGAAGTCCAAATTATGAGATACAAAGTCATGACAGTCAAAATTATGATACCTGAGGTAATAGGACATAATTATGACGCACAAAAAAAAACTTTCTGTCAACGTAAATTTGGACCTATGACAATTTTGATATTTTTTTCTCATAACTATTAATTTTTATCATTTTAATTGTCAATTTCAAAGGTTTTATCTAAAAGTTCTACATTTTTATTTCAAAATTGTAACTTTTTGTGTCATTTTTGTTATAACTTTAACTTGTGCAAATTTTGACTTTTATCTCATAATTAGTTCTTTATCATAATTTTAAGTTTTTATGTGATGATTTATTTTTTACCACACAATTTAGACCTTTTATGTCATAATTATGATTTGCCAAAACATTATAGTGTTATTAATATCACAGCATTCAAATGTTCTTCTGAATACATCAAGTGCACAGATGATACACTTTCTTTACCAAAATGTGCATTAAATGTGTGTGTGTTTAATGGCTCGGAAGAGTCAAGGACAAGAGTCTCACTCAAAATAGGATAAGAATGAGCATCAAACAGAATTAACCCGGCGCCCACAGCTCTTAAAGGGGCCACATCTTATTTCTACTCGTTATTTACGACAGTACAAGTACTCCACAGTGACTCTAGGGGTCGCTGTTTGACCAAAACGGAATTCCTACATAGTGTACCTTTAAGAAACATTTCCAATCACTATCAGTTGAAAACAGTTTCACATTTTAGTGGAATTTTCTATTGGTACATTCCATTTTCAAGGATACTTTTATAAATAGAAAGCTCAAAAGAACAGCATTGATTTGAAATAGAAATCATTTATAACATTATAAAACTCTTTACAGTCGCTTTTGATCAATTGAATGCATTCTATTTCTAATAATGCATTGATATTTTTTTCTCATTACTATACATTTTTATTTTATCATTTTAATTGTCAATTTCAAAGTTTTTATCTAAAAGTTTACATTTTTATTTCAAAATTGTAGACTTTTTATCTATATTGGGCATTTTGTCATATCTTTAACTTGTACCAATTTTGATTTTATCTCATAATTAGTTCTTTGACATCATTTTAAGCTTTTATGTGAGGATTTATTTTTTCCCACACAATTTAGACTTTTTATGTCATAATTATGATTTGCCAAAACATTATAGTGTTTAACAAGAAACTGCACTGGTAATTGAGCAATGAAAAATGCATTTTTTGCATTCAAAAAGACGCATCTTTAAAAAGTTGAACAACTTCTGAGTTGAGCACTGTATATTTTTTGTGATGTAAAGGTTGATGCGAAAGACACAAGTGCAACGGTCAAATGTTTGCATGGAGAAACAATGGAAAAGCAGCACAGTTGAATGCGTTTGTGAACGGCTCGTGAGCACAAACCCTCTGGCGTTGTCCAAGTGAAGAAGAAAACCATCATCTCCAAACTTGGTGAAAATTTCGTAGTGATGCCTGTCCATGTTTCCTACAACACGAAGGACAATCGATTATGCAACTCTGGCTTTAAAGATTTCCTTATGCTTACTTGGGTGCAAAATCATCAATCATTAACGCTACTTTCATTGTCAAGTTTTGACACAAAATGACAGTTTGATATGGACAGTGTTTACATGCCTGTGAGAAAGTCAAAAACTGCCATGTCAATAATGTTGAGCAGTCTGTTCCCAGAGTTGTAGGGATAAAGCTTTTTGACCGTGTCGCAGTATGACGGATTGACCTCCCACCTGAGAAAGAAAGAGAAGACATTAATTGCTTCAAGCTGTTGGAATCATCTGAACATTTCTGAACTTCAGACCCTTTCGTGAGCATGACAAACATTTTTGTTTCTTAGCCATCAAGAGCTGTATTTCTCAAATCCAAATAAGGACGTTCTGTGTTACATAAAACGTTGATCAGACTGGAATCCTGTCTTATTATCTTTATAAATCAAGTTTAAAAACCCTTCCAAAAGCCTTTAACACATTCCTGCTCGATTCAACAGCAAAGACTGTAAAGAATATGGACAAAGCGTCTGTGACGTCACCCATAGACTCTGATGAACGGGTTTGAGGTTGTTTATGGTCGGCGCCATACTGGAAAATCTTGGGAAAGACAGAAGTTTCAGAAAGGATACAGAGGTGCTATGATGTGTTGTGTCAGATCATGGCCGAGACGTCAAATTCACTCGGCGCAGACCGTCATCAGCTGTCAATCAAAGTTAACCGCCCTTATTTGTCATACGTTTTATATCTAAATATGATCTAAACTAACGAGTTACAAAAAAATTCACCCCCCTCACAGTCAGGCACGCGGAACATATTGAAGATTACAGGGACCAAACTATAAACATATGAATTAATGCTGTGAAAATGGATATTTTAACATGACGTCTATGGATATTTGCGGATTTGAGATGTATTGCAGTTTTCCGCACTTCCGGGTAGGCTTCATCTTTCAGATTAGAAGGTTCAACAGTTCAAGTTATTCCAAAGAGAAAAGAAATGTTCTTCATAATCAAAACTGAAGAGAGATGCAGTGTGTGTGTGTGTTTGTGAGCGTACTCCTCTCTCCCGGTGAAGCTGTATGAGCGGATCCAGGGGTTCGGGATGGAGATGCGCGGGGCGATGCTCAAACTGGGCAGATACGCAGACATGGATCCCTCCAGCAGATCCGGGTGACCACACACTGCGTACTCCGACTTACACACGTATAAACACTTAGCGAAGAAACATGTGTTGTTGGCTGTCGAGGAAAAAGAAACGCATTCAATCTGATAGAAAACAAGTCTCTTCTGCTCTCCAAGGCTCCATTCATTTAATCAAAAAAATATACAGAGACATTGTGAAAAATTATTTAATGCAGTTTCAAAATAACTCGTTTCTGTGTTAATATATTGTAAAATGTAACAATTATAAAATCTGAATCTAACATGATCTGATTTTAGTACTCCAGCAGCTTTGACTTTGACCATAAACTTTGTCAATTATTCAGACCCTTCTGTTGGATGGGAACTGAAAATAATAACTTGAAGCAGTAGCTGGCACTTTTTTATCATTTCAGGCTATAATAATATTAATAATAATCAGCAAATGCCACATAACAAGCAGGATATCTGGAATTACATTCCTGCAGTGAATAGTGTGTATTATTATTAATATCACGGCAATCAAATGTTCTTCTGAATGCATCAAGTGCTCAGATGATATACTTTCTTTACCAAAATGTGCTTTAAATGTGTGTGTGTGTTTAATGGCTCGGAAGAGTCAAGGACAAGATTCTCACTCGGTCAAGGATAAGAATGAGCATCAAACAGAATTAACCCGGCGCGCGCAGCTCTTAAAGGGGCCACACCTTATTTCTGCTCGTTATTTACGACAGTACAAGTACTTCACAGCGACTCTAGGGGTCGCTGTTTGACAAAAACGGAATTCCTACATAGTGTACCTTTAAGAAACATTTCCAATTATTTTCAGTTGAAAACAGTTTCACATTTTAGTGTTGGTACATTATATTTTCAAGGATACTTTGTTAAATAGAAAGCTCAAAAGAACAGCATTGATTTGAAATAGAAATCATTTGTAACATTATAAAAATCTTTACTGTCACTTTTGATAAATTGAATGCATTCTAGCTGAATAAAAGCATTATTTCTTGTTTGTAAATAAAATGCAGTTTTAGTTTGACGAGTAATGCACACCTGGAGAGATGAAGAAAACACTGCGCAGTTCCTCGTTGTGGGTTATGTACAAGATTTCCCCCGTCACATTGACGAATCGACCCGCCACGGGAGGAACCCTCCGGAAGTCCAGTACTCTGCACACAATCCACACACACCTCACTCAGCTTTCATATAAACCTCATTCTTGACAAATGAAAGAATCACCAAAGCGTTTTTCCACGCGCTTGGCGTATGTTTTCAATTTCAATGGGAGCGCAGAGTTTTTTAAACGGCATGAGCGTAATGAGGCGCTGAGCGTTTTTTTTTTTTACGCTGAAGTGCCGAGCACCCAGCATTTATTACTGGTCGCCGAGAGTTGAAAAATGTTCAACTTTGAATGAAACGCAGCGCTCATCACTGTCACTTTTTACACTTTTTGAGGAGGGGCGGGGCTAATACCACACCGACCAACTGTCACAATATAGGTGCGTTCCATTCGACCGTAAGTGGACTGCGAAGTGGACTTCACAGGGTATTTCGCCATCTTAAGTGAGATTCTAATTCGAAGGGAACGAACATGTTCAGTTCGAAGGGCACTGCAAACGGCATAGGGAATAAGGGAACATCGATACATCACTTCACAGGAAGTCAGTGAAGTTCACTTCAACTGATATACCGTCTTCAGGGAGTAGGGAGCAGTGAACACTGCGTAGGGACCCTGTCGAATGGAACGCTTCTTATTCTTTCTGTACAACGACATCAACCAACAGAGCTAACCGAACAAAATGGATGAAAAATGAATTTTTAGTATAAAACTAATTATCTACGAAATCAGTTACAAGTAAACTGTGCTGCGGATATTCTATATCAGGGCAACGAAACGTCTCAACGGAAAAAACGCAGCGCAGCTTTTTTCCGTTGAGGTGTTTCGTGTGTATGTGTGTCGTGGCTCTCGTGAACTCACTCAGAGGCCCACTGTGTGTGTGTGTGTGTGTGTCATGACTCTTGTGAACTCACTCAGAGGCCCACACAGAAGAAAATTAATAGTTGAATAAAGTCTAATACGTTATTTTTGTTTTTACTCTCATCGCTTGATAAACTTATGTTTGAGCCACTGTAGTCACTGGGACTATTTTAACGATGTCTTTACTAACCTTTCTTGACCGGAAAGTTTAAAGTACAATAGAAGCCTATGGAGGAGTGATCCAGCTCTCATATTTCATTAAAAATATCTCAATATGTTGTACGAAGATGAATGAAAGTCTTACGGGGTTGAACAACATGAGGGAGAGTAATTACTGACAGAATTATCATTTTTGAGTGAACTAACCCTTTAATTTGGAGCTACATTAGATCAATAGAAATAATTTTTAAAAATGCTAATTATCCAATAGGAACATTTTGATTCTTAGAGGATTTTTTAATTCATCCTTTGATGATCGGCTCCAAACTGCCATCAGCTTTCCTTCAGGATAATTTTGACGAGTCATTTCTCTTCAACTGAAGAGGTTTTCTCCATGTTTGAGCTCTGTGTTTAATTAAGCTGAGCTCAGATGAGGAATAACCTGCAGGAAAACACCCTTTTCTCGAGTGTCTTTGCCTACAGTTCACCACTAATGACAGGGTGGGACTCGGAGGGAATTTTTCCTTGCCACTGTCGACTGGAGTGTTTGTTCTTTGTAAAGCTGCTCTGGAAATGATATGTATCGTGAAAAGCACTATACGAATAAACCCTTAAACATTCTGTCACGTGCAGAGAGAAAAAGGAAAATGTTTTACAGTATCTAACAATATTAAGGTGAAGGTGAACCAGCACTCCCTCGTCTTCCATTGACCGGTTAAGCAGATAAAAGTGTTTTGCTCATTCATTTCTTCCATAGGGATTTTTAAACAAATCTTAAAGCATTATTCGCCATGAACCAAACCAACAAGCTACAGCTACCTTTGAAAATCTTTAATGAGCTGGCTACAATCCCATGAAGCATTGCGTATGACAATCAAATTAAAACAGATATATACACTGTAAAAAAATATTGATGGTTTAACTTAAAAAATTAAGTAACCTGGTTGCCTTAAAATTTTAAGTTAATTGAACTGGAAAAAGTGAGTTAATACAATGAAGGAGATTAATTTAACCATCAGAAACTCAAAATTATATGTTATCTGAACGAAATTGATTATTTAAGTTGATTTGACAAAAGAAAAAATGTTGTAATTACTAAAATATTGTTGGTTTAACTTAAAAAAAGTAAGTAACCTGGGTTGCCTTAAAATTTTAAGTTGATTGAACTGGAAAAAGTGAGTTAATACAATGAAGTAGATTAATTTAACCATCAGAAACACAAAATAATAAGTTATCTCAACTAAATAAATTATTCTAAAGTTGATTTGACAAAAGAAAATATGTTGTGATAACAAATCTTGAAAATATTTTTTACAGTGTATAAAACTATCTTAAAGATGTTGACTGTGAAACAACACATTTTATGCTTATTGCAAAACATACGGCAGTTTGAGAGCATATGGAGACTCTATTACATCATTTGGTATTGCTCAATGGGAGTGGGCGGAGCTGAAGAGTTAGTTTGGCGCGATTTGCTTGTTTTGAATCTCTGATTGATGGAGATTTCAACAGTAACTCAGCAGTTAAATATGATTGAATTAATGCAAACGGAAGCCTATGCCATCGATTATCAACGCTGTAGCTCACGGTCTTCTTTAATGGTTAATAAGTCATCGTTTAAAACCAATTTCCATATGGAGGAAATGAATGGAGAAGAACCTGTGCACTCATTAGGTGAAGTGGTCTGTATGGGATGTTCAAAACCTTCTTTTTTTTTTTTACTTTACCAGGGGAATTACCCTGCAAAAGGCTTACCGATCGTTGCCTATGAATATTAAGCCGAATGGAGTATTTTAAGAGAAAATAATTCTCACTTATTAATTATCACTAATGCTGCAAATATATTTCTAGGCATGCACCGATATGAAAATTTTGGCCGATACCGATAATTATTTATGTATTAGCCTGATTACAAAAACAAAAGTCTCACCATTAAAATCCATGTCCCAAGCACACAATTAAAAGGATGTTCTTATTATAATTGTATGTAGCCAATATGACACACTTGCGCTGCACGTTTTGCACTTTCTAATATTTTCCTTTTTTGAATTCCAATCATATTTCAAGCAATTCAAAACTAGGGTTGGGTATCGTTTGAATTTGAACGATTCTGATTCCGATTCCTTGTTTCGATTCCGGTTCCTAACGATTTTCGATTCCGATTCTTTTAAGAGGCAGGGTCAAAAAATTTAGCTAATCTTGCTAACCAACGGCCTTTCTGAAGGAAATACTCCTTCTGTAAAAATACTCCTTTTGTCACAAATTTTGCATTTTGCCGAGATTTCGTTATTTTTAGAAAAGTGAAGCCACATTTTGGATCGCCGACGTAAGGTACTCATGTTCGACTCGCGTGGTTATACCAACATTTCCGGTAGACGCTTCTTCGTTGGTGTTGTTCAGCGGTTTCTTCTTCCGCTCGGCGGACTGTGAATATCAAAACTAGGAATCGAAATTTTAACTTTTGAACGATTCCGGGAAAAACGAAAAGTTAGTCTCGGTTCCAATCGATACTCGATTCTCGATACCCAACTCTATTCAAAACCATCATGGCGAACAGTGCTCATCAGTTGAACATTATTTATCAGCTTTATTGTTATTGGGCTGATAACGATAACATTAAAAAAAGTAACACTTTATATAACAGTCCTGTTCCCCATGTACATACTCTGCATTTATTATTGTTATTACAATAACTGGGTTATAATTAGGTACTAAAGATGAACCTAACCTTAACCCATGCAGTTACCTTACATCACCCACTACTTTCTTAGTAAGTACACATAAAATAAAGCTCATTTATTGAAAGCCCAAAGATGCACGAATGAGTCTTTGTGTCTATAATAAGATCTTTTCTGGTAAATGACATGTGAGGTTTTTTTTTTACTGTGTTTTAGTGAATGCCTCTGATGTGGGTTGCAGTCTGCTGTGGGTTTCATCATCACATAATCGTCTACCATAGACCTCACCAAATATGCTGAGGTGAGACTAATCGTGCTGAACCTCATTGTCTCAACAGGCCTAAACAATGATTTATAGTATCCCAGTGCGGTGGAGCCTGAGGGATTTCATCTGTGTTTACTCATATCAGATCCTTCTCAGTATGACAGTCTCTCTGTCTATGGTGTGGTGACTCTGATCATCAGTGTTGCAACGCCTCACCTGTCGAGGTGGAAAGCTGCAATCTCAGCATTGTGTCTCTGAAAGTCCACAAAATAGAAGAAGTTCTCCGGCGTCTCTTCGTGCCGCTCCTGTCTGAAATCGACAAGGATCATTTCTATCAGTTACACTACTTCTTAAACCAAAGGTGTACTAATCAGGAAATCTGAATAACAGAGTGTTACCTCATTGGTTTAAACATAGCTTTGCCAAAGTCTTGGAGTTTCAGGGCCAATTTCAGATGAAGACCGCTTGGTTTAACCACTGATTGGACAGTCAGAAAGAAAGAAAACGTTCATGTTTCCTTCTTAATATTAACGGAAACATATCTGTAATATGAAAATATAAGTGCTGTCAAAATTTATTTACTTTTTTGTAGTTAACATTAATATTCAGTTATATTTTAACTAAAATAATATTATAGTATTTGTAAGTTTTGTTAGGATATGTGTGTGTGCTGGTCTGGATGGGATGACCAATACACACCTTTATTTAAAAGGTGAATTATTGTACTAATATAGCCATTATTAATGATAATTCTTCTTGACATACAGTATAGTTTAATGTTTTATTGTGCTGCGTTGGGTTGTGTGCTACATAAGATGACAAATTTTAGGAAACTGTTGCAACACCTGACTCTTTTTGGACAGTGAGAACTTTTTTTGTTCCCCATAGTCGACCCTTCAACTGTAGTAGTTTAATTATAGAGGGATCTTTACATAAGCGGGGCTTGCGGTGTTCACTATCCGCTCCAGTGTTCTTTTGCTTTGTCTGAGGTTGTGAGAAGCTGTGGCAGGCTGCCGGCAACCCTAAACCGCACCGCTCAAACTACTTTTAGCTCCTTTCCAGCTCAATCAAATCAATAGTTTACAAACTCAACCGTGCTCCAAAATAACACATACGTAATGAGCAAAACAGCAAAACAAGCCAAAACAATTAAAACATTGTAGTTGTACTTTTGTTTAGGCCAAAAAGTGCCAAAAGTGGAAAACTTCAAGAGAGAATAGCATTTGGGTTGATGTGTGTGAGCTCAGACAGTCACCATGAAATCAAAATGGACAATTCTCTTAATCTTGAATCAGAGTAACTTCCCCTCCCTCTTGCAGCATCTCTTCTCTGATGACGAGGGCGGGGCAACCTGTCACTCACATGAGATCCACCAATAGCAAACCACAACCATCCAATCAATTCCCCACGAACAAAATTAAGCCCCGCCCACATTTGTTCTTGTTCCAGAAGTTTCAAGTTTCAATTGACTAAAAAAAGAATAAATACAACTTCTGTTTAATGGCCTTCTACTCTACACCACCAACGAACTTACAGTAATATATATTGGTTTTACTCATTAGCGTCAAAGCTAACTGGATGATAAAGATATTTAACTGTAAGCTACCTAATGTAATGGGTGAAAATTACAGTATATTTAAAAAAAATACATGCTAAATGTAATTTTAAAATACTGTAAAAATCTTTTCACAATATTTCAGAGTGATAGGTTATATTTTATTTAACAAGACTATATAAATATGATTTATATATTAAACTATATTGTTTTCTATTAGAATTTAAAATGTAAATATTTATTTATTAAATTAAAATATTTAAAGTTACACTATTGTTTAAAAGTTTGGGATTAGTAAGAAGTCCGAGTCTCTTCTGCTTTCCAAGACTGCATATTTGATAAAAAAAACACAGTTCAAAAAAAGTAATATTGTGCAATATTATTACAATTTAAAATAGCTGTTTTTTTTTATGAACATTCTGTAATGTATTCCTGTGATCATTACTCCAGTCTTCAGTGTCACATGATCCATCAGAAATCGTTCAAATATGATGATTTGCTGCTAAAAAAACAGCTCATTATTATCAGTGTTGAAGACAGTCGTGCTGCTTTATATCTTTGGGGAAATTGATACTTTCCCCCCAGGATTCTTTGGTGAATAAAAAATTCAAAGAACAGCATTTAAATGTCTTTACTGTCACTCAATTAAATCAAATTAAATGTATACTTCCTGAAAAAAAAGGATTAATTTGTTAAAAATAAAATTATTGACGCCATACTTTTGCACAGTAGTGTTTATCAGTAGTAATTGTTGTATCACCTTATAATTCACATTCCTCACTTGTGTTTAATTTTGTCAAAATGTGTTAGAACAATTTAAAAAGCACATGTACCTTGGGAGCAGTCGCACGCACCCTTCAAAGCTTTCTCATCCTGAGTGAAATCTGTCAGACACAATGAAATACTGGGTCAGATCATGCAAGCACATTTGAAATGAATATATGTTTTCAGATTCATATGCTGGAGCTCTTGGGGGAAGAGAAAACCTGCACTGATGACGGTGGCCGTCTGCATGTCCCTCAGGAGTCTGTCCACGCTGCTGTCGTCTCTCGCATACAGACCATATCGATTGATCCCGAGGTGGAATTGCAGCCAGCTGGCCTCTGGGTCAAAGGTCACAGGATGATCAGGTATAGTGATGTTTGAAGCTGCTGCCGCCTCGATGTAGAACTTTTTCAGTCTGTAGAAGAGAACGAGAGATGGCATTGAAGATTGACAAATAACTTTCATAACGCTATTTAAAGGAGTAGTTGAGTAGGAGAAGTGAATCGATCGCTCATTTAAAAAATAAATAACAAAGTCTAAGTTTTATAAGCGCAAATGCTCGCCTTGCTCTGTTCTGTGATGCACGTTCGGGACTCTCCTGTTCGAACTCATTCATCAAAATGAACAAATCTTTTTTCGTGTCATTTGGTTCATTCAACGAACGAAATGAACGAATTGACTCGGGAAAAGATTCGTTCATTTTGATGAACGAGTTTGAACAGGAGAGTCCCGAATGTGCATCACAGAACAGAGCAAGGCGACCATTTGAGTTTATAAAACTTAGACTTTGTTATTTTTTTTAATGAGCGATCGTTTCGCTTGATAAGACCCTTATTCATCGTCTGAAATCGTTTAAAGCCCTTTGAACAAGTTTGCAGTTTGTACTTAAAGTTTCTTTTGGACCTTGAACCGTTTGGTTCCCATTGAAGTCCATTATATGGAGAAAAATCCTAAAAACCTTAATTTCTTTTCAACTGAATAAAGAAAGATGTGGACATCTTGGATGACATGGGGGTGAGTAAATTATCAGCAAAAGTTTTTTCAAAAGTGAACTACTCCTTTAATATTCAGATTCTGAAGTCACTTTCCTGTACAAAAACCTGGAATGAAAAGAGTAGAAATGGCACATGTGATTTTCTTTTAAATCATCAGTAGGTATTGTTAGCTCTTGAAATTATGATTCCCTTGGCATACACAAGTCTGCACATGTAAGAACCTTTAAGATGTATAAACAGCACAGCCTCAGCAATCTGCCAACACCACCTCAAAATATGAGGAAAATATTTTATATTTTTATAATACGAGGGAAGAGCAAAACATTAACTTATGGTATCATGGGAACTTATGGTTATGGTATTTATCTGACAAAATTCGAAAGGAAAATATCAGTCTAATATAGTTTTTTTGTAACCTTTAACTCTTTTCCTGGCATGGATGGAATTTTACGTCATTTATGACACAATACTTCTCTATGGAGGCTTGTTTCCACCACTGAATAAAAAGAAAAGGTATAAAGATATAAAATCAGAATTGCAAAATATAACTCTACAAATCTGAGAATAAAAAGTCTGAATTTTAAGATAAAAAGTTGCGATTATCTATATCAAAATATTTTGGGGGGCTTTAAAGTTTCGTTAAAATAATCAGAAATGCTGGTGCTGGCTGGCAACTTTTTTTAATGTTGGCGGGGAAAGAGTTAAAATTATTATTATTATTTTTTTAATCCACTTTGCATTTAAAGTACCTTTGATCAAATTCATGCGTCATGGAATCGAGTTCCTGGCAGACACAACATCACCACGTTACAGATTATTGATCCTATTTGAAGCAAATATTTGCCGCTGGTCCTCATAAATATTGTCACCATGACCTCTAGAAGCATCAGCTTGAATCAACATCATGAAGAAAAGAGAAATGAGTTGAAAGACAAATATAAATGACAGAAATATTTACCGTGGCAGGGATCCAGCACTGCTTTCATACAAAGTGCTCCCATTATGCCTCATCAATGCGTTCGCGCTTATAAATAGGCCTATAGCAGGTGAACGCAAGAACTTTTCAGGTGTTTTTCCCTCTCAAAGGTTCAACAATCAGAGATTTTAACCACAACCTCTGAAACAACAAATCTTGACTAGAGCGACCTGATTTATGTGGGTGGTTTCTGGCAAACCTCTGATTATGTGGGAGACACTTGTGTCGAGCATTGGTCTGCTGAACAGCATCACGGCCAGTGCCGTTTAAAGAGTGATATGTCTACATCCCTGCCTTTAATACGCAGAATAAGACCTGAAAACAAGCCTTTACAGAAAACGGCATTTCCATGGGGCAGCACGAGGGAGAATTTGAGCCCTCACTTATACTTATAAGGGACTATTAGTGACCAAGTTCACAAAATATTGAATCAAAAACATTATCATTTTTTTTAAATTGTAGGGTTGCTTTTTTTAAAACACCAAGGCATAATATATTGATTCATATAATACTAATAATTAATATTAACATACTGAAATAAAATATATAATATTCCTTTATTTAAATGTTTTTAATTAAACAAATGTATAATAATGCGATTATATTAATTAACACAACAATAATGAGTATTTATTCAAATAAGTAAATATTATTAATTTGCTTTATTTTTTTTAGTTAATTAGAAACAAAATCGTAACAATGATGGCTAAACTGGCACATTTACGTAAGCGTTTATTAATGTGCACGGTCCCTGTAACTTTAAACTGATGCTATTATACGAATTAACACAACATAATTAATATTTATTCAAATAAATAAATATTATACATTTGCTTTATTTTTATTTTTTAAATTAAAAACTAAATCATAATAATGCTATTATATTAATTAACACAAAATAATTAATATTTATTCAAATAAGTACATTTTCTTAATTTGCTTTTTTTAATTAGAAACAAAATCATAATAATGCTATTATACTAATAAACACAACAATAATTAATATTTATTCAAATAAATAAATATTATAAATTTTCTTTATTTTTACTTTTTACATAAAAAACAATATCATAATAATGCTATTACAATAATTAACACAACAATAATTAATATTTATTCAAACAAATAAATATTGTAAATTTGCTTTATTTTTATTCTTTTAATTAGAAACAAAATCATAATAATGCTATTACATTAATTAACACAGCAATAATTAATATTTAATCAAATAAATAAATATTATAAATGTATGCTTTATTTGTACTTTTTACATTAAAAACAAAATCATAATAATGCTATTACATTAATTAACACAACAATAATTAATATTTATTCAAATACATAAATATTATAAATTTGCTTTCTTTTTAAATTAAAAACAAAATCATAATAATACTATTACATCAATTAATATAAAAATAATTAGTATTTATTTGAATATTACAATTTTGCTTTACTTTTTGGTTTTAGTTTTATTTTAGTACAACAAGTACAGCAACCGCCTAAAATAAAAAAGGTACTTGTTTTGAAATATTTCAGTTAATGTTCATTTTATTTCATTGCTGACACTGCCAGTGCTTTTCTATGCTTCATATCCTTCAAAATCCCGTTTTAAATATTTTTTTTTTCCTAGAATATCCAATATACTTTAGCTATTGAGTGAAAAACTAAACAAAATAAAACACACTAGCATAAATCCAGGCAAGAATGTTTTATTAATGTCAGTAAGTTGGTTTGATTTTAAGTATTGTGCATTTTTTGTATGTTACTTTGCTGTCTCGTTTAAATATCCTTCTTCTAAAATTCATCAATAAACAACAGGTTGCAACTTTCACAACTTATCCCATTTAATCAATGTGTGTTAAATACTGGCGGAAGTGTTCAACACCTTTTTTTGTAGCCAAGACTTTAAAGTATGTGTCTGACTCAACGACCTAAAGTGTTCCCCTGATCTGCTAATAAACATGCCACAATATTTAACTTAAAGAGTACCTCTCCCAGCGGCTCACTTTCCTCTTGTAGTAGTTCCTGAGCTCCTCACGCTGCAGAAGCAGTTCGTCGGGCCCCAGTTCTGGAAGACGGATGTTGTAGAGCGGATGACCGAACAGCCTCTCCAGCTTGGAGCTTCTCTCGGTGGAAACCGGTGTAAAATTCTGGCTCGTCGTCATCCATGTTGAGGTTGTAGCACCTCCGTTGTCCAGGCTGCCATTGGTGACCCTGCACTCGCAGCTTTCTCTGGGCAGAAGGTACCAGCTCTTGAGTCTGGGGAGCAGGACGAAATGGATGTCAGCTGCCAAGAGGGTGACCAAAGTGACGGCCACCAGCAGGCGGTCCCTCCTCATGTCCCTTCCAGACCCAATCCGACTGAGATGTTCTCCTAGCTGGCTAAGTTGGGGAAAATTATCTCCAGGTCTTCATGGACAGATCTGACTCCCGCTTATTCCTCTCAGGAGAGCCTTGTGTTGCTCCTCGCACATCTGACCCAGACAGCGCAGTGCCCCAGTGAGTCAAGTTGCTTTGCTTTCTCTCTCTCTCTCTCTCTCTCTGGAAGTGTGGAAGCTGTGTGCTTTCCTTGCCTTTGGGCAACATTCCAGCTGCACCTTCCCACTTCCCATGTAGACACTGCCTCCGATCAAAAAACACACACGCAGATAAACACGCGCACACACACTGGAGAGACAGAGAGGGAGAGGCAGGGAGTCGGAAAGCAGGTCTGAGTGCCAGCGCACATAAACCGAGCGTTTTTTAGTCGAGAAATAAAAAGGCCTGGGTTTTTCCTCCGCCTCAAGCGTTAGCTGGTGAAATTTGCACGTTTCAATGAAACAGCTCAACAAACTCTGCTGTGTGAGCCGGTGGATGAGAAGCACGGGAGGTGTTTCCCAGACTGCCAACATCTGCCGTTTTGTTTGGGTTTGTGCATCAGCTGTAAAATGGAATTACGAGGTTCTGTGTGTAGCTTAAAAAAACATTTTCTTCTTCGGAAACACACAACATCTGAAAACAACTGAAGGGATAAAGAATGAACAACCTCAAGCAAGTCTAGAAATAGATTTTGACTGGTTGGGGCTTTTCACTCTGTATCCGTTGAGGTTTTTCATCGAGGATTTATGTATTTGAATTGCATATACAATTTCCACCCATTTTGATTGCAGTTTTTTAACATGAACAAACTAATAAACTTAATGTGATGCTTATTTATCAGTCATACGTGAATAAAACTGGCTGTTTATTATGAACTATTTACATTTATTTGATTCTATTTAAATAAAAAGTGAATATATTCACTGAAAAAAAATGATTTTTGGTAAGGTAAATACTACTGAAAAAAACCCAATGTAATTTACAAGAAAAAGTTAGTTCAGGCAAAAATAAAAAATAAAAAAATTCCATATCAGTACTTAGTTCAAGCGAGTAGAAATGAAAGCATAAATATGAACTCAATAAAATAAAGTAAAAATTACTCAACTTTTCTGATACTGGGGTTCCCATAATGCACTGGACCTTGAATAATTAATGAGGTTCATTTTTCACTGGTTTCCAGCTGTATTTACACAGTTTTATCATTGCTTTTGTTGTCAGGATTAGTAACTTGCCATTTTGAGGAAATTTTTTCTGCTCAAAACGACACATTCAAACACAAAAACGATCCATCAAATGTTGCCGCCATTGTGTATTGTCTACCAAGTATTGAGGTCTTTGCATTCACATGACATGATGAAGTATAAATTACTTAGATAGGCTAAGTAAAACACATACTAGAAATGACTGGTATAATTCAATAAAATTGTTTGAGTGAAATGTAATGCAAAGGAAATTACAACTAAATTGATATTAATCAACCTTCTACTAGCCAAGTTACTTATATTCTGTGTCACTTTCACTTAACTAAATTAAAGTTTACTTAATTCCATATTCCAAGTAAATTTTAACTTAAGATTTCTAATTAAAGCTACTGATAAATATGTTTAGGTTTTTACTTGGCAAATCTTTGTAAATTTACTATAGCATTTTCTGAGTGGAAAAAGTTGCCTAGCTTTTTTCAAGTAAATCCTACTCCACATTTTTTTCAGTCAAAATGCTTAGACCCAGCATGAATTTGTTATTAAATTAAATGTATTCAGTTAAAAAGTAAGCAATAATCACATAGTTAAAATGTATGAGATTGAAACATTGGATTTATAGATGATAAATACATAAAGCTGGTCATTGTGTATTTAAAACACTTTCAGTTTATTAGGACTATTTCAGAAATCTTACCCGTTTCATGTATGACTGACAAATATGCTTCACATAAGATTTATGTTAAAACTTTGTAAACCAAATGGATGAAAACCTTATATGAAAATGAATACTTAGGCCTAAATATTTGATTTGTTATGGTTACACTATATTTGAAGGTGTCTTTAATTATACATTTCAGTACTAAATACTATAGGGTTAGGTTGCATGTAATTATGCACAATTTATAGTTATTAATATAGTAACATAAGTAACAATGACACTGTAAAATAAAGTGTTACCCTTTATTTTAAGTTGTTCTTTGTTACAGTGTAATTGACCATTTAAGTATGGAGTAATATTAACAACATGTACTTACTATAGGGTTAGGATTAGCGTAGGGTTAATTGCATGTAATTATTTACTGTCATTACTATGGCAAGTATATGTAACAAGGACACTGTAAAATAAAGCATTAAGATGCAAAAACACAGGTGTTACCCAACACTGAAGGACTGGATGAGTCCAAAATCCATTGCTATTTTGAAATGCAGTCCATGTATTTTTGCAGCTGTTGTTGATTTCTCTAAACGCTTAAGAGGGAAATATGTATTTGGGTAACACCCCGTGCATTACGACGACGAGATGACCTCGATCTTGACCCATGTTTCTGGGTATTGCTCGAGTAATTTCATTAGCCGACTCTGTATTGTGACGTTCGGAGTGTGGAGTTTTTAAACACTCATATCACACCTGGTTTGAAGTTCCACTGACGCTTGAAGATTTATAAGGTTGTTTTTTCATCCTCCAAAGCTTTACACTTTGTTTACTTGTACTCTTCGTTATCTGTCTTGGATTATTCATGCAGAGCAGCTCCAAAGCTTCCAGGAATTCATTCAACGACATTATATAACAGCATGTCAAAAGCTGGCTTTTGGGAAATCTTGGTGAGAAGTTGTGAGGAAAGTTTCCTAGTAAGAAAAAAAAAAAGAGAGACAGAAATATTCATGCACACAGTATCCATGACCAGAGGAACTTCACACACTGCATCATTTGTACTCACTTCTCGCTTGTCTTCCTATCAGACCGATGCATTCCTCATTGAGAGGGAGTTTCTGCATTCCCAGACGAGAGCCTTAGCAGGCCGTCATGTTTCAGAGTCATGCATCTTATTGAGAGAAATTTGTTCAGGTCATCTTGAATGGATAGATGGAGCAACTAATAAATCACGGCGCAGGGTTGTGCTCATGTTGAGGTGATGAACGATCCGCTGGCGGAGGATTGTGCTATTTCATGAATTGAACGACTCATTATGTGTGACTTTATAGGATCTAGGGGGAACGGTGTTTCAAAACCTCCTCTTATGGACCATAACAACAGTTTAAATTGGATTAAAACACCACAAATTCAGAATTTTATAGTTGACTGGAGGAAGAATGTTTTTTAAAATTATTTGAGGACATGGCCGCCTGTGTTTGGGGTCATTTTTTGGATTTGAAAGGGTTTCGTGGCCTAGAGTTTGTGTCCTATATTTTGGTCACACGTCTCTTTCACCCGGTTTCTGACTGTGGACACATTCTTCTATGAGGTCGGGAGGGCAGCGACGGTCTAAATGTGCTTTCAGCGAGTACAATCGCAGGCTGCTAATTGGCACGTATGGACATCCTAAGGCCACAGCGCTGGAGAAGCCCTGATCACAGTTTGCTTGCTAGGGTGTTTTCTAGGGCATTGCTACACTGTTGTAAACAAAACAGGAGGTCTATATGGTTTCTAAGACATTTTTAGGGTGTTGTTTGTTGTTTTTAAGTCATTCCTACAGCTTGGTTGATTTTGGGCTCAACAGATTTTATTTTATAAGAGAGACAAAATGTCTGAGGACCAGAAATCACACTGGTCAAGCTCAAGTATAAGTTAATGATTCAGGTCAAATATTCCATAGGAATATGTAGGATATTTGTCTGGCCAGCAGGACGAGGCCAAGGGCCGCGAGGGAGCGGCGTGATAAATGATTAGCGAGACCTGCGCGACGCACCGGTCTCGTATCTCCTACTCGGCTCGCCACAATATAGTTCTGTTTATTCTAAGCGCGTGCTTGTCTGTCACTTTAAATGCTCGAGCTCGTTACAGCAGGATTGATTCTGATTGGCTGTCAGTGTTTTTATTTGTTTATCAGCTGGATAAAATCGTTCTAAAAGTGATTCCAATAATATCGTTTCTCTTTTTTGTTATAGCTGTGTGTGAACTCTGCAATTGTTGAGAATGATTTTCGGAATGACTATCTTTTCTTTAAGGAGGAATTTTAATAAATGTATCAAATCTATTTAAAAAAAATAAAGCAGCATTTTCATCTCCAGCATAAACTGACACTACATGTTTTACGCTTTTAGATGGAGAGTGGGAGAAAAAACATGGAAAAATTGTCATTTTTTTCCTGTTGTTTATTATATTCATTTGCTTCAACAGCCCCATAGTACATGAGAAGATTGCAGACCTCTCCTCATTCGTGTTTTTAGCTTAAACAGAACAGGATGAGTTACTGTTTGTGTAAAATGTGAATACTTAGGTAAGGGTTTTGTTCAACTGTCTAACCCTAAGTATGAGCAACAGTTATAGCAATACATTTTTATTGATTTTCATTTTTATTATTATTAAAATTACAGTTTCCTGTACTGTAAATGAAAGCTTCAAATAACAGAATAAAGACAGCACAAAAGCCACTGTTAAGACAGAGGAGGTGCATTTCTGGGCCAAACACTGTAAATCACTGACCTGTGGCAAAAAATACAACCAGTAACCTCCATCATACCCACTGTCTAGTCCTCCAGTGTTTCAACATCTTCAGAGGAGAATATCTGAGAGCTCACTTCTGTTCCTCTGGAGGAAGTCTGCCGCATCTTCAATTCCCAGGTCTTCAGAGATTCTTCTAGCTCATGGATCTCCTAGAATGAGTTAAAAGAGTTAAAGAGATACTACAGGATTTAGCATTAAGCTTTGTATTAGTAAAAAACCTGTATTATTTTAAAATTACCGCGCTTTCCACCCTCATATCCCCTGAAACGAGAGATTTATGTAATTTTTTTGTCTGGAAAAAATCCTCCGATGACACAAAAATAAACATTTTGCGTCATAGGAGGATTTTTTTGTCCAGAGGCTAAAGACTACAGTCAGTAGGGTCTGTCCCGCATGTTCTCAACCCGCCCAATGAGGCCGTCCGGCCGTCGATGTCCGGGATTCAGCTTTTGCTTTCTGCAGTCGTCATTCATTGTTTACATGCACAGCTTTTGTTTCAATCTAACTGAATTCATTGCTATTGGTGAATCTGAATGTAGTGTTTACATGAACGCTAAACAAGTGATCGGTTGATGTGCGTTTTACCATTGCTAAGAAAATCCCGCTCCTCCATGAGAGATTCGAGACCGGTGCGTCTCACAGGTGTCGCTCATCGGTAATCACGCCACCGGCCTCGCTCCGTTCTCCCGTGGCCCTCAGTCGTCCCGCTCACCACATTTACATGACTCGCGCCTACTGTGCTCTGTTACCGGTGGGCGTGGCCTCCTAGGGCAGCGAAGCAAGTGCATTCTGGGAGTTGTTGTCTTTCATCAACATAAGCCAAAAATACATTTTCTGGCTTTTCTCAGTCTAGAAAGCTCCAAATTCAAAAATAAATGCACATTTTTTTCTACATAAATGACCCATTTTAAATACACATTGATCTTTCCATAGGTGGAGTATCCCTTTAATATGTAATGACAGTCAAAGTTCTTGCATGCATGTGGACGAATATGCAAATAAAACACTGTCAACTACTTCTCGTTTAAATTACGTGAAGACTTTTAAGTGCTTAACTTTTTTCCCCACTGTGGTGGAGACACTGAAATGTGTCTGACTTTAGTGTTGTGGTTGCCATAACAATTCCTCTCTCCCCTAAACGCGCCGTTACAGTCAGTAGCCCATCTTGGCACACGCTAGCGCTTCTGCACTCTCCCCAGCAACTCCTCCGTGATTCACTCTTCTTTTCACTTTCAGCCAGGCGCTCACTTGAAAATTTTACAGAAAAAAAAACATTCGAGCCTTCTCATTCCACCTCACCAAAAGCTTTCTCTAGCCAAGCAAAACTTCATTGTGTTGAGGCGTTCATGGCAACAAACACACAACAAACGCTCAATGCAATGAAAAACTGGGTGTTGTCTTTGTTTTTCTTGTCCGCTGGATTTGCAGATCTTTCAATCAGCATTGTGGATCTACAGGTGTTTTTGTGACTGTCACGGGCGACATTTCTGGCTCCTCCGATTTTGTACCCACCACTTTATAAAATAGCTTGAAGCGTCTCAGTTTTTTTTTTTTTTATAATTTTGTTTGTGTTTGTGTTTTATAATGACAGGTGATTTTTAATATCGATTTTAAATTATTTAGCATTTTTAATATTGTTTTAATCTTGAATTTATTCAATTTAAATTTCTTTATTTTGAATTATTTTATACAGCTAATCTTCGGAAATATTACCGTTTCTCTGTTCACGCTCCCCTTCATCTGCTAAAGAACTTAGCGCTTGTATTAGCTTTGCCGCAGCATTTTTTTTCAACACCTCAAAACACGTAACATAGACATAGCATGTTATGTTTACCTGTTGTTGCCGAGCCCCGCCTTGATGCAGTGATTGACAGGCCAGGAGGGGGCGGGATCAGCTTGGAATGCATTTTCAATGTGACATTGAATTTTGCTACATCCGATGCGGGGCATTTTATGAAAATGCAATCGCGAGTGTCTTGACTGTGAGTGTAAATGCAATTAAGAAAAAATAACATTTGAATGATCATTCTGCCACAGTTTTTGCTTGAACATGTTACACATATCTAATAATTTCTGTAATGCATTTTCATTTTCATTTTGCCACTTATAAAGCGTTTCAATATGCAAATTAAAATTAGTGTATGAAATGGCAAATGTAAATTATGTAATTTCATTTTCATTTTGCACCAAACGTTGCTAGAACGGTAATGTAAAATGTAAATTTAAATACAAAATGCAATGCCATTTTACATATTGCATTGTCATTTTGCATATTACATTTCAAATTGAGTAATGCTACACATAAGCTTCCATGGGAAACAAGCATCCAGCAGTGGCGTGTAACGCAGTCACTCCTATTTTGGCGGGTTTAATTAGATAGCCTATATAATACATTTTTCAAATGTATTCTTTTAAAAAGGCATCTGAAATAATAAACTAAGTGCAATGTAGTGTTGTCAAAAATATAGATTTTTTTCGACACATATCGATACTGAAATATCTGAAACGCTTTTAATACTCATTTTCCACAGTATAGATACAGGATTCCAGCTGCGCTTTCTCACTCTCTTATCTGTCTGACTGCGACTTACACAAAACCCGCCTCCCCTCACTCACTCATTTCGGATGAATATTGTTGGTCTTACAGGGTTTAAATTTTAGCGTGGGATTGCAAATGTTGCACAATTTGACTCATTCCTGCAGATTTTGTGCTCACACCCAAAGTGTGTGCACTTAAAACCGCCTCTCAGTACTAAAGTGAGTTCTTTTTCGCTGCTTAAACAGTCAAATGCACAAAATAAATGTCGAAATGCCGGTCTTGGCATTTGAGAAAGTTGAGAAAGGCCCAATATACCTGCTGCCACATTATGAGATCACATTAATATCTAAATGGCAGCTTTTCCCATGGTATTGATGTCTGCATTCACCTTTTTCGTGACATCACAACCAATCCAACTGCCCCATCCCCATTATTTATAAAACAAAGTCATTCCAATGATTTTAACATGCTAAACATCTCAGAAAAGACTGACTAACTGGTATCTCCTGATCTCCTGTGAACTCTTCCCCAAAGCTGCCGTCAATAATTTGCCGCCTGCGTCGTTGCGCCGCCATCTTTTTCTTCAGATCTTCGAGAAGATCCTCTCCAGAGAGATTCTGAGAAACACATTAAAAGTAATGCCTGGTTCAGATTACACGACTTCTTTTGTCTGTTACGATAGTCACTGTGTCAGATTACGCAATTTTGACTCCTAAAATCTTGTCGTGCCGTGGACAAGACACATGTCAGACTACACGTTGCTTCCTGACCGGTCATCGCATGCCGTCTTTAAAGGCACGCGTGATGTCATCGAGAAGGTGAAACTAGTAGCGAATGACTTCCGTAAACGAATGTAAACAAATAATGGATGAAGCGGTGAGTGTTGTATTGGCTGTCCTGTGTTCAGAAAAAAGTAAAAAAAGAAAGAAAACCCGACTATGGACACGTTCCTGGATTGCTCGAAGAGGACAGTATGGGCTAAAATATTGTTTTATTATATATTTTTACTTTTAGTTTTAACGTTAGCACCATCGTCTCTCTTTCGTTTCGCCATTTTTGAAAGTTGTGTACGGAAAAGCTTCTGTCCTCCTATTGGTCAACCTCATACATGTGACGGAACCGTCATGGACGACCGTTAAAAAAATTAAACATGCAAGCCTTTTTGTCGTGATGTCGTGAAGCATCGCAGACGCGACGTAGGTTGTCGCCCACTATGACACACTATACGAGATGATACGATCCAATCTTGCGTCCCGAAGCCCGTTGTCGTTTACGAATCCCCACGACACCCTACGTCAAATGGATTGTGCCAAAATCGGGCTAAAATCGTGTAATCTGAACCAGGCATAAGACAGCACTGTGTAAAGAAATCCTTTATGTAGTTTTAACAACTTAAATTGAAATGAAATTTAATTTTCTTGACTGACCTTATTGTATTTAGACAGTGGGTACCAAGAGCTTCGCTGGTCAGGTGTGCGCTCAAAGTCTGGGGTTTGTAGAGCCGTACAACCGGTTTGGAGGTTTGTAGCTAATTCTGCAATGACAAGGGGTTATAAATCATGCTTATATGTATTAGGATTAAAAGTTTAAAGACAAGACGGATGGAATGAAATTGAACACATTAACAAAGCAATATGTCTTTACTAGGAAACTAGTCAGAGGGAAATAATGTAAGGCAGGATTTAATTTTATTAGTCATGACTTGTTTAGTCTCAGGTGACATGCTGCTACAAACTCTAACCAGATCGCATAATAAACAAAACCAACTGTGGTACTGTAGATCGCTAAATGTCTGGAATAAAATCTGTGAAGACAATGTAACAATTTAATGCACTTAACTTCTTTAAAGTCTGAACAATCATTTGCAGTTACATTTAATTTATATTTTTATATTTAAAATTATATTTTTAAATATTGTGAATTTGTTATTTGTAATTGAGCATTGTTATACTTATTTGTTTTAAATCTTCAATTTAATATTCTCAATTTAGAATAATTTTATGCATTATTTTTAGGGCTGTCAAACGATTAATTGCATCCAAAATAAAAAAATTGTGTTTACATAATATATGTGGGTGCACTGTGTATAATTATTTTGTATATATATATAAATACATACACATGCTTGTATATTTAAGACAAAATTATTATTTATATATAAAGTATTTATATTTATGTATAATATAAATTATATATAAATCTATATACAGTATATACATGAAAATATTTCTTAAATATTTACAAGCATGTGTGTGTATTTATATATATAAAATAATTATACACAGTGCACCTACATATGTAAACACAAACTTTTATTTTGGATGCGATTATTCGCGATTAATCGGTTGACAGTCCTAATTATTTTAGCTTTAAACATACAATATGTTGGAATTTTATTTATATTCAATAAAACAAAATCCAAACAATTGTGTTTTTGCTGCTCATATACTGTACACATGCAGAGAAATTTTGCTTTATTCAAATGTTTACTAAACTTGAACATTGTTTTCAATCCATATACAGTATTCATGGTATTTAAAAGATATTTCCTCTAGTATTTTTTTCATTTTATTATTAATAGAAACTGGAAAACAAACAGAAACAAGGAATCCAAAAGAGATTTCTGTTTTGTTATTGTTTATTTAAATTAATTGTATTAATAATATGATATCGGAGGCCCCTGACTATGTTTCGTCCCCTGGAACCGCTGTCATAAACTATTCATATTTCATAAGCTATTCATGTTTCTATCAGTCTATTTGTGTCATTTTTTTGACAGAATAAGCTTTAGAGTCAATCACACTTCATGCAAAATGCCTTGCTCTGCGAGACAAAAAGTGTATTCAATTGGAAGATAATTTTGAAACATTCTAGACTATGAAATATTTGGCTATTTTTACTTGGCCACGTGGCCATCAGAAAATTGGTTTTGATGAACATAACTTTATTTTTTCGTCCAGGGACATATATCACAAATATATACATAAATGGCTAATTCTGAATTCATGTCTTCTCTACATTTTGTCCCAAAATCCCCTGAGCAGCTGCTCTGAAAGATCAGCCAGCGCTCAAGAGGACACTGGAGAAAGTCTGAGCATCAGCAGACGTCTAATTCTCCAACGAGTGTCTAGACAGCTGCAGGAACCGAGTAACACACCCGGCTCAGTCGGGAGGCTCAGTTAATCGCTTGTTTTGGCATGACGAGGACTGGGAGCCGGAGCTGAGGGAAGTGAGCTCAGCAAACTGCCAGATCCTGGCTGTATTGGTGCTATGTTGAAGGATTTCAGGTTTTTTATAAGGTGGGAGGTGTAGTTTACTTCGCAAAAGTATGCACACAACTTATCAAAAGTTTGTAGTTGGTAAGATTTAATGTCAGATGTAATTTATTCCTGTGATCAAAAGCTGAATTTTCAGCATCATTACTCCAGTCTTCGGTGTCACATGATCCTTTAGAAATCACTCTAATATGATGATTTGCTGCTCAAGAAGCATTTATGATTATTATCAGTGTTGAAAAGCAGCTGTGCTGCTTCATATGTTTGTGGAAATCGTGATAAAACATTTTATAGGTTCAGAAGTACAGCATTTATTTGATATATAAATTATTTTTTTATATTATAAATGGCTTTACTGTCACTTTTGATCAATTTAAATCATCTTTGGTGAATAAAAGTATTCACTTCTTTACAAAATTTTTTTTTTGTTAGTGTAGTCTGAGAATACTTATGTTTACTAATTGTGCAGTGTAAATATCAGGGGCCATATTGTTCGCTAAAGGAGCCCAAAGTTTGAGTGTGTGTTTGTCAAAAGTGTTTCAGTTCACCTTTTTGTGGATGATCACTCTCCCCTGAACTTTCACCCGAGCTGGCACGTGATTGGCTGTCCTCCTTTTCTTTTTTGATTGGACTGGTACGTTCTCTGTGGGGGATGTTAATGAATCACCGTTAGACATCAATCAATGATTGACGAACGAAAGCACACAAATTCCTGATGTTTGCCAAGCTGATGAGGTCACTGAGGATGTGCCATATCCATGTCTTGACATGTTGTCGCATCATTTCGTAACATGATGGTATTAAACATTAACCAGCAGTAAGAGGTTCAGTGAATAGATCAACGGGTCTCAGTGGCGCAAACACACATCTAGAAATATTTAAAGGGATAGTTCACCTTAAATTTACTATTTTGTTCCAGTTGAATTATTCGGTTTGATCAAATTTAAGGTCTTACATATCTTATGGTATATCAAAAGTCTTAAATATAATTTTAAGAAGTCTTAAATTTGCGTTTTAGTTAAACTGGAAAATTCAACGATTTAATTAAATGTGAACAATGAACATTTGAAGGTAGAAACCAATTTAATACATAAGTATATTGAATAAAACATGCTTCAAGTATTTAAACTGGTTTTGCTGATAAACAGTATGAAGTCTTGTTGAATGAGTTCCCAAACCAGTTAATTTGAGTAAAATAATATGAGATACATGATTTATTTTTAGTTTTTATGGATTCGTTCTTTAGGGACAAAGTATTAATTTGACTTTAAAAAATCTGAAAAAATGAAAGAAAAAAAAATTACATTTTAATTTCGAAAAGAATTTTTTTTTAAATTTACATCCAGAACCTAGTGAAATAAGTCATTTTTAGCTGAGTCATGCTCTTTAGCATGCAAACCCACAATGTCCATTTGAATGGTGGAAGACACTTTTTCACTAAAACTTTCATCTTAAAATTTGATCTGTGATGGTAAACTGTTAATGACAACATTTAATTTTTCTGTCTAAACTGTCCCTTTAAGAGAAAAGCTGTATAATTATAAACTCTTCTGTGTATGTGATGGATTTAGCCCAAAACAAGTCGAAACAGAATCAGAGGAGGAAGTCTGTGGAGGGACTAGACACTTTGACAGACCTCCTATTTCCCCTGCCTGTCTGTAACCATTATTCATTTACTGACAACTCCAGAAATAATAATCAAATGAATGGCCGTCTCTCTGGACTTTTCTACACTTCAACACATCATTCCACCACATGCTTGAGCATAAATGGCAGATGTACTGTATATATCCGACCAATGGCAACTTTCACTGTAGAGGTTTATTTGTTAAAGCCTTTCATTCAGAACCAAACCTGCCCTTCCAAATATTGAGATTGATCAAACTAGCGCTGCACAATATTGAAGAAAAATGCGATATTCAATATGTGATACGATAATGCCTAAAATGTGTAAAATAAACTTAAATTATCTTTAAAATATATTTCATATTATATAACCTACATATGTGTTTCAAATTCTTTTTATGACAAGAAAACATCCCTACAACTTGTGAAAGTGAACATCAGTGTTTTACTGTAGCATAAGAAGTGTTCTTCTAACATCAGTGGGGTTTTGGGGTTCAGGAAGGCCTGAACATACATTAGGGTTATTTATCAACCGAAACTGAATAATCAAATGTAAAAAAAACAGCCAAGAGCAGTGAGTGATTTTCTGTCTTTTGTTCATGACCCGTTTTTGCAAGCCATTGCGATATGCATATTGCGATATATACATTTATGATATTTCGATAATTTCAATATATATTGTGCAGCCCTACTCACAACTGGTCCGAGACATGAGCTTGTAGTTTGGGTTGACTACCTACCTACAATATCTTCTTGCTTTTGTCGAGAATTAGTTGAAGAGCTAATGGCAAAACTTTTCCAATAAGATAAACTTCCCAAAACCAATTTCGACTTAAATTTAATTAAAAATTTATTTATTATTTTAATTATATACGTAAACTTAACAAGTAAAATACAGAACTGTTATTATTTTTACAAAAAAAAACAAAAAAAAACACTTAGGATAATGATTTAGTACAGAAAAAAGAAGGGCAATAAAGAAGCAAAACCTCACATTTAATACAATTATAATTTTATATTATTTTATATATATTTTATTTTACAGAACAACAGTAAATTTAAAATACTAATAGTTATTACTTAAAATTTAAATACTACTAGTTATTACTGTCTTAATTTACTTGCAATAACATAGTATTATTTAATTTATCTTACAGAGATTTTGTAGAAAATTAGATTTTTATTTTGGCAGAAAACCACAGAGAAACCGGCTTAAAGCTTCTCTTCTTATGTTGAAATTTATCAACGATTCTCATTACAAATCTAAGAAGATGGTTGTGCATACTGCCTTTTCAAAAGCACGTTATAAGTGACCAAAACTCACAGCGCTTGCAGAGCTGGGCTAATTATAATTCATGTGGGTCACACTTCTCGGAAAACACGGAAACCTGCATTAATACCGAAAAATCACACTCCTCTGTAATTAGGCCTGGATGCAGGTTGCGATTTGTGAAAAAAACAGAGGGGGGGCTGTTTTGAAAAAATTTTTTGCATAAAAATAAATCATGAGAACATGAACTTCATCACTGCATTTGCAGGAAAAAAAAAATTCTTGTTAACTCATGCAATATTTTTACTCTAATTGCTTCCCACACATATATGAACTGTGATCATGCACAACGAAAAAACATGCAATAATTTAATCAATAGATTAATAGGGTAGAGGCTAATTTATATCAGTCTCTCCTGAACCACAGATTGATTGCAAAGTTAAACCATCATAGAAACAGTTTTACTGCTGCTGTTAAGTTAAAGTTATAATGTACGTTACATCGCGATGCTGAGCTACAGTGAAATGATAGAAAAGACAGATGCATTATCTATGTTAGTCAATTCGCCTCATTCGCGCCGCAGAGATTTACATTGAATTAACATTGAAATCACTCGCGCCAGACGTTCAAGAGTGAGTGACTAATCAAAAAACCTTTGCTTTAGTCTCAGTTGAGTGAAACACCGTGTGTATAACTTCAGCCATTCTCCGTGACTGGGACACTAGTTCTGCTTGTCATCATAGAAACAGAAAATGAGATTGTGATGTTTATTCTGAGTAGCTAATTATGCTGCCTTCCTTTCAACAAACAGCTCCACAGCCCAGCACGGACCTGCAACAGTCTAGCAAGTGTTGATAGGCTATTATCCGTGAGGTGTAACCAATCAGATAGCGCCGTGGGCGGGACATTGAGCAAGTCTGCAGACTCGTGCAGAGCGACAGCTATATGAGAGTCAGCCAAAGTAGCGCATTTAAAAATAAGATTGACTTTAATCAAAACTGATCCGTCTTACCACTAGTGTCGTAGCAATGATCACTTTGAGGGGGGGATACATTTAAAAATAATTAAGCAGAGGCAGGGATACATTGACCAGAAAGGGGGAAATCCCACGCATCCCCCCGGCAAATCGCACCCTGCCTGGATGTGTTGATGATAATTGAGATTTCAGTTTTTGGCATTGTGAAATCAAGTCACCTGACCCTGGTAAATCACTGCAACTTTTAAGAATACATTTTTCAATAATCATTAGAAGTTTTTCTTTCAGAACTTGCACAGCCAGATAGCAGCAACGGCAAAGGTCAGTCTTTCTTGGCCTTTTCAAGAGGCCAAGTGTCTCCTTCACAAAATGATGTTTTATTAATACATTTCGGGACAAGCACAGATAATCAGATAATTAACCTAATCGTTATGGGCGGAGCTTATCCAGTCATCTCAATTAACATCAAGAGTTATGCATACAGCAGTTTTTACAGCTGATCTATGTCAGAGAAGGTGCAACTGGTCTGAACTGCACATGCTGAGTGAGTTGGCCATGGTTTAAGGCTAATAACTGATGTGCAGTTATACCTGTTGGATTGATAAGTGTCTGGGTTGCTCAAATCCCACTGCTGTTCCTGTCCAAAACAGCCCACACATCCTCCTTCACGGGTCCAGAGACAGGCCCGACGGTCCACCGATGCGCTCAGCACGAAGAGTTGAGACTCGTACACCAGGACCTCACAGCTCACTATCGCCCTCTCATGGCCCCTCCAATAGTGTAGCAGTGGAGGCAATTCTTTTGCAGACTGAGAGAGACACATACTTTAAATATATGTATATAGAATGAAACAATGAGCTAAATAAGGTGAATTCAGGTAAACTGGATTGCCTTTAGCAAAAAAAAAAAAGTACATTTCCATACCTCCATATCTCCAGCAGATAAGGCATAATGTGAGATGTCCCAGACCTTGATGGATCCTGTGGTGTCTCCAGTGACAAGTAGACTGTTTTCCTGGTCTGTGCTTAAACCCATCACACTCTCATCACATTCATCAGGCACATAAAACTGTCCTGCATCAGACATGATGGACAAAGCAAGTCATTAATCTATTAGTCTGTGCTTTTCTGATAACGAAAGTGTAAACGCAGTAGTTTGGAAGTTTATATACTGTTTTTACCAAATTTTCAGCATCATTACTCCAGTCTTCAGTGTCACATGATCCTTCAGAAATCATTCTAATATGATGATTTACTGCTCAATTATTATCAGTTATTCTGCAGGGCTGTTGAATGCTTGAATCTGATTGCTTGACGAATGTTCTGATGTGTGCTGCTATTATTTTCAGTCAAACGCGCGGCTAAAGTAGTTCCAGGCAGGTCTTGCCCAGATTACAGCTCCATATCACTTTGCCAAATGATTTCAGTTATTTCAAAGTTTTTACAGCCTAGAGAACCAAAACCCACAACGACACTGAGCGAGCAAATAAATATAGTAAACATTAGGACAACCAAAAACGTCGAATTATTTACAAGTTTGTTATTATTGAAAAGCACATATCTCTTTCTTTTGCTCTCTCTCCCACTCAAACGCACACACATACAGTATGGACACACACTTGCGTCTTGTCAGCGCTGCTCTGACGATTTTATCAGTAAAATAGTTTAGCAACTTAAAAGCTACATGACGTTTCTCACGGGGTGCAGATAAACATATTTTCTCTATTAGTAAACAATGGTGCCGAGCATTAGTCTGTTAATAGAGGCTCAAGTTCCCATTACTAGCTCTAAAATGACGTTTTGGATTAGACACGGAAGTTTGGGATTACACAGCAAAATCGCCAGTGTTAAATTATATAAACTCTGAGCAGTGTGTTAAATAAACACTGAAGCAGTGTTAAAGTTAATTAGATAAGATTGAGTGATGATTTAGCATCAGACATCTGATGTTAACAAGCAGAATCACTGAAGGAGAAAAAACGATTTTTAAGTGTTTGCGTTAATTGGGCTCTTGACCCTTAATTCAATAACTTTAGATTTTGTTTAGTGGTGTTTGTGATGTTAACCTGTCATCAGTTGGTCTCGGTTATCATGTTTGCCGTGGTTGTGTCTGGACCCATAGATGCTCCACCAGCAGACGGATCCGGCCTGTGAGCTGAGCAGCACAGCACTGTTTCTCAAATGACTTTGCTCAGCTCGTTTTTGCAAGAACAGCAGTCTATGAATGGGTAGATGGACTCTACGCACACAGAAGCACATTAAATGTATACATTACTTCACTGTCAACTAATATACCATAAATAGGACAAAAAATAGGTGCAGTGGTTCTCAACTGGTGGTTCTAAATGCAAAAATGTGTTGCAGGTCTGTTAAATAAAAGTGATCATATAAGTATGCCTGGTTGGGATAGCAAAATTATTAGTCTTGTTGTGTGAATTATTAGCTGCCGAGAGTTTGGGCTCCTTGAAATTCTATTCAGACAATTTCATTTGAACAATTTTGCAAATAGTTAGGCACTCCATGGTGATATTAATACATTACAATAATCGATTTTGAGGCCAATTTTCTTTTCTTGTGTATGGTAAACAAATATGGAAAAGTGATTGGTTACCACATCAACGTAAAATCCTGCTAAAACCAGTTGTCTTTATGAACATATAAATATATACATTTCCCCCCCACTGAGCATGATTTATTAAAGAAATGATGCTCAGGAAACATCAAAAATTTAACTGTAATTTAACCACATATAAATAATGACTATGCCCATTTCAGGGATATTACAGAGGGTGTAACCTACATTTTATCATATAATTATACCCTCTGAATTCCACGTATATTGTTAGTCGTAGTTATGCTATCTCATCCAGAAAAATGTTGTTTTCTGCTCATTTTCCACCCTCTCCCTGACCCTTACAACAAAACAGGCTGTTTTTGCTCATTTGTAAATGACCTGTGTTATAATTAGCTAGCCAGCTGCTGAATACTTATTCTCTAGAAATAGTCTAGGTGGATTTGGAGGGAGTTTAGCTTTAAGTAGGTGTACTTACTACATATACATTACTATTTTTCACCGCTTGCTGCGGTCTACATTGGTACTAACTTCCCTTCCTGGGATCTCCGCAGTCGTGTGTTGGGCTTCTGAACAGCCAGCGTCCATATAATGATCTCTCCATCAGAACTACCAGTAGCCAGAAGCCCCAGACCTAGACATTGATCCATCGCCAAGATATCCTCTCTGTGTTGTTGATCAGACATCCATGGCAGATGTGATGGTACATAGATGCCCTGCACTCAGATGCACTTCAGTAAATGACTTTTAGATCTCCAGTATTGCTGTGTCAGCTTCAGTGCAGTGTCAGACCACCATTAAAACCCACTTTGTTTTCACAGACGTCTCACAAAGGCACACAGCCAATTTAAGATAATGAAAGCCATAACCAGAAACAATGCACATTATAGGTTTATTCTGGCTGAAAGCAGTTTTTGCTTTTAAGTAGCCATTAAAGAGTGTATGATTGAGACACAAACAGGCCCTTACCTTTGAAAACGCAATGCTATACTGAGTGATCTGTCGACTCCAGCCTGTGGCTAAAAGCATGTCGTCACGGTGACAGATGATCCCGGTGACCACTGTGTTGGAGACGGTTTCTAGCTTATGAAGATTGTGGCCATTCAGTAAGTTCCACACCTATAGCATGGAAATATACCTGTTACTAACAAATGACAACACAAAAATCATCAAATCAAAGTTTAATTCAAACAAACACTGCTGCTATTGAAATGACCCTGAAAAAATAGCAGTCTATCCTTTTGGACAATATAAAAGTTCACCCAAAAATATAAATTCCGTCATTAATTACTCACCCTTGTGTTGTTCCAAACCCACAAGACTTTCGTTCATCTTCGGAAAACAAATGAAGATCTTTTTGGCTGCATTTACACTGCCATTTTCTGACTATATCCGATTTTTTTTGACACCCCGCTTAAATCATCTTTTAAAAGTGACCCGTATGCGATTTTTGCATTTGAGCCATTCCACCGAAAGGGTGACATTTCTGTCCTGTTCTGTGATATGTATAAAATTGCATGAAAATTAACTCTAAAATACACTTTATTATTGAGTAAAATGTCATGCTCATTAAGCTAACTACAAATTTAAAACGTACAATTAAAAACATTATTAAAAATGACACAGAACAGTAAAAAATAGCATTTTCTGCATGTCCCAACTCTCTATCTCTAAACTTTACGATTAAATATTATGATTAAAATCCTTCAGAAATCTGATTTTCTTGCATTGTTGTGTGACTTTATATCCAAACTGCTTTAAAATGAAAAAAGAAAAAAAAAAACATTTGATCTAATATTTTTGATAAAATATGCATTTTAGTCATGTCCCTGGGTTTTCACTCAGTCCTGTTACACTATTACATCCCCCCGCAGAAAAACGTAGAATATTCCACAAGACACATTTTCAACAGTAAGTTGCATCATCTGGATCTTCTGAAGGCAATGGGGCAACTATAAGTCACTCCTCTCATTTTCATTTCTGTATATTTGATGAAATTGTAACTATAAATGAGAAGGTCAATCTCAACATACACCTGTTACCTAAACCTTTTCAATCTAAACCTAAACTAAGGCACTAGAAATGGCTCAGTGTCCTCACGCTATTAGCATCAATGCTATGTGGCCATATGCCATATATTTGATAACTTTTTGCTTAAAAACTCAATCCTGTTACTTTCAGTCCTATTACTATTTTTTTTTATTTTTCTAAACAAATCAAATCAGTTTTGTTTGGCCCATGATTTATACAATTATTTAATTAATTAATTCTAAAAAAATTATAAGCTTGAGGCTTATAAGCTTGAGTGCTTTTTATCAAAATACACCTTGCTTTAATAGTGATTTTATTGGCACAAATATAATTTTTTTGAACATATAACCAACATTTTCTTTAAAATAATCACTTTCTAGTGGGGAAAACAAAGGAATTAATTGACATGCTTCTAAACATGCTTTTTAAAAGACATGTTTTTTGGTAACAGGATTGAGAAAACATGCGTCCATATTCTGCTTAAACCTTGTAAAAAAATAAATAAAGTTGCCTGAGATTGACCAATACACATTTTGAATAGTAAAATATGTGTAGTATTAGATTCAATGTTGAAAAATATCAAAAATAAAGTTTATTTTTGAAGAATTACAACAAGCAAATGTCACCCATTCGGTGGAATGGCCCATTTACACTATACACTGCTGCAACTAGCAAATGTAGACGTTCTAACCTGGAAAAGGGAGTAAAACAGCACAGAATGCAATGGATGCAGATGCAAATAAAATTATGCAGTGTTTTGCTTTCAACAAGTCATCAAAAAAGTCAGCAAAACATTGGTCTCGTGCGGCGGAGAAAAAGAGGAGAGTCCTTGTTGGCACTTAAAACCGTGCCTCGTGAAATGTCTTCAACTGGTTTTACTGGGGAAAATCCGATTTGTCCAAATATTTTTATCGGAATATCCGATTCATATCCGATTTATTACCACATGAGTAAGGCCTGAATCCAATCTGAGAAAATCGGAATCCATGCTTTTTTTTCCCCTGCTCACACACTCATCGGTCATATCCGATCTGTGCCACATGAGAGGAAAAAATCGGATTTGGGTCACTTGAACCATGCAGTGTAAATGAGGCCTTTAATGAAATTTCTGCCCCTACATTGACAGCTACGCTACAACCACTTTGATGCTTCAAAACTTCCATAAAGAGATTGTAAAACTAACCCATATAAATTGAGTGGTTCAGTCAAAATTTTCTAAAGAAGCACGATATAATTTAGCGATTTAGCGGATGTGATTTAGCGGATCTCCTTTCATTTTCCCTTCAGTACTACGTCTGGGACTGCTGTATATTCTTAGGTTTCCAGAAATTAATTTTTTGTAGGACCAATCAGCGAATAGAGGGAGTGGCTGAGAACGATGATGTTGATGTAGCACGTCGTCAGTTTGAGTTCATTAATGGCAGCGGAGAAAGACGTGATATTTTTCTTTTCATCAAACCTAATTGATATTGCTTTATTCAGGACTCAAAAAGAAAGGTCCATAGTACAAAAAAATAACAACAGTTACAGCAAAGCAATAAATAAATATAAAATACAAAGTTCATTAACTTTCATTTGCAATATACAAACAGGAGCGCCAATGTCCTCACAGTCTAGATGTATACCTAACATAATCCTGTTTTCAGAGACAGAAATTCTACACATTTATCAAAAAATAAGATTTCTTATTAAGGCAGTACAGGTAGGCACACCAACATTAACAAACATCTGACTGGCACTACTCCATCTTGGTTGTTTTAAAAGCAGTCTCATACCACGTGAGAAAGGCTATTCGGTCCATTGTTGGAAATATACCGAATTTAAAGCCGGAGTAAGAACGTTTGTTAAGTTTTGTTGGTGGCCATCTTTCCCTCTGGATTCATTTATTAGAGTTCGTGCTGGGCAGCTCGGCGTGCACAATGACCGTGACATTTTGGACGGATGCTTTAGCCTGGAAGTGGCTGCTAAACTGTTGTTGAAGATGCACTCAGGACTCATGTCAGTAGCTCAGATTCCCAACAGTAAATTTAGTGATTCTTGTGACGAATAGCTCACTTTTTGAGCCACTTGTACTCAATGTGTAACGTGTACTCGTGCAGGAGGTTGGTGTGTCAGTTTTACATGTTGTGAATCATTCAAATTTGTTGTAATTTTTTGAGTTTATAATTTGAGTTTCAGTTTTAGATGTCAGTAGTTAATTTGTTTAAATAAAAAAAAACTAAAAAATGTACAAACACATATTTTGAAGACCATAATTAATTAAGGTAATTAAGAAACAATAAATTGTTCTGCAGATAGAGACAGATCGTTCACTGTACAGCATTTGCGGCAGATCAGAAATGACCGCAGCGGCGTCCGCATATTTGTAATGATTAGACGCAGCTTCGACAGGTGAATAAATACATCACTTTCCTTAGTGTCAAATGCACATTTCGAATGAGTAATTGTTCCTAGATGAACAAAACCTGCATCTTTTGTTGACAGACATCTTATTGTAAACATAATCCTCGGACTTGTTCCAGCCGTTAACTCACGACCACACGGTAGCGATTGGCTTTGGCAGATTCTGAGTGACTCTGGGCACATCCAATAATTATGAACTTTAACAGAGAACCCGCCTACGAGGAAGTAAACGTTTCTCAATGGAGAGAGGTCAGACCATATACATAATATATACATAGACGCCCTATTGGCCACTTTGGAACGTTGCTGCGATACGTCAACGGGTCCGCCATTTTGCGGAGGTCAAGACTGCACTGTAATTAAATGCAAGTAAACGGGTGAGCTGCATTTTTTTTCTGGATAAAAATATTCTTGTATAAGAATGGTGAAGACCCCCACACTGAGATATTTAAGTTTGCTCATTGTGGAAAAAGCATTTTATGTGATTGACCAGATTTTAGCAATAACATTGATAACTGATGGATCCTTTATGATAATATATATATTATGGTACAACTGGGCATACAGTGCAATGCAAATAGTAATTATAACATAAAGTGAGAAGTAATAGTAAATAGTTTAGTCAATAAAATAAACAAATAGTATACAGCAAATAAAATGGTAATGACTACTAGTATAATTATATAAAAATATTGATAATAGAATAAGACATTTCAACTACAGAATATACACACACACAAAAAATAAGTTAAATAGTGACATATATTTAATATTTAGCTATTTTTTGTTAAATTTCAGTTTTATTGATCAATAATAGGCTAGCCATTATAACAGAAGTAGCTTCAGTCGAGCACACAGCAGGATACAACCTTAAAATAGCCTAAATATAAAGTTATAAAACTTTACATTGCCCTCAGCCAAAACTATTTACCAGGGAACCATTTATAGATTAATGAGACCAAAGATAAACACAAATTATACGAATTATATCTCTTGTTTAACCTCCAGACTAGAGACATCTGAGCCAGCGGCAACCGTCAGAAGCACTGGCCGTGGTACGGCTGTTCCAGGCGGGGTAGACGAGCGCTGGGCGCAGCTTACAACTCCGAAAACTTCAGATCAAATTCTTTTTTTTTGAAACTTTTTATTTATATTTTTCACAGAACATAACAAAAGGAACATTATCTGAGACAATAAGAGACTTCAAGTGATAAAATAACAAGAATACAATAAAGAAAAAATTAAATAAATAAATAACCAAGTACATACAAATATTCGGTATATATATAACTGCACCTATTATTAATGTTCACATCTAAACAAAAATGATACAATAATATACAGCCTTGTAAATATATGATATAATATCAGCCTTTATGATATAAAATATATAATATTTCATAAGAAATATATAAGAAAAAAAAGAAAAAAAAAGATTATAGATTTAAATATTCAGATCAAATTTTTAAATAGGCGCTATCTTTATAAACAAACCGCATATGTGAGCTTTAAACAACTACATTGTCGACTGAAAAACTATTAAAACTACATTTCGTGACACAATAACAGTACCTCTAAACATTACTATTATTCAGAGGTGGAAGTAACGAATTACAACTACTCAGATTACTGTAATTAAGTAGTTTTTTCGTGTACTTGTACTTTTAGGAGTAAATTTTTTAGTCTGTAATTTTCCTTGTACTTGAGTACAAATTAAGTTAAGTAATGTACTTCACTACTTTAAAAATCCCATTAATTACAAAGTACTTGTACAATTTTAATTCAACAATTATTCAAATCTTTGACCAGCATTTGGGTTTCCAATGGAAATAACTGATCGTGGGCGGGCCAATAAAAACCCTTGTATTTGGAGCGGGGGAAAAAAGCCCGGTTCCTGGAGAGCTATATTCGTCCTCACACGTCCTTCAGTTTGTATTTTAGTGTTATCAAAGAACTTTGCCGTAATGGACATGGACATTCGAGACACTGAATTTATTGAAAATTCCGAAGAAATACCAGATGAAGAATGCCCATGACCCCACATGGAGGAGTTGTTCTTATACAGAGGAAGGAAAGGAGGCGTTTTATAGAAACTTTGTTTCTGCAGTGATATGTGATAGTTCAGTTGTTTTTGTTTTTAAAGTTGGCTAGGCCTCACAATAATTTGACTAAAAACATCACTTGAAACATGAGCTTCAGCGTTACTCAGGTGACAAGCACATATACCGTAATAAAGATTTAGCATTGTAAACTTAGATTAAAAAGTTATATTGTATGTCATTTTCAACACATTGTTTTATTAATATTGAATCCGTGTTTTAAGCTTAGAATGAAGAGTTTAATAATGACTCTTTCATAAAAACAGTATCTTGCCGGCCACGACCCACTGGCATAACAGTGTAACTGCACTGATCGTCAGTCTGTCTAGATGGCACATTTGTGTCAGTGCTAAATGCTGATAACTTTTGAAATATTAGTAGGGTACTTTTGGAAATCTTTATTGGAAAAAAAAAGAAGTTTATAAATAAAATAACCCAATAAGCTTATTTATTTTGCATTAATTCATTAATAATAATAATCATATTAGACCATTTTTATAACTTGGTTTCCATAAAAGTAAATAAATATCACAGGCTAAAAGTAATTAGTAATCAGTACTTGAGTAGTTTTTGAGAGGGGTACTTTGTACTTTTACTTAAGTACATTTTTAACACCAGTACTTTTGCTTGTAATCGAGTATTATTTTAGCAACTACTTTTACTTGTACTTGAGTACAAATTTTCAGTACTCTTTCCACCTCTGCTATTATTACTAATTAAATCATGACCAAATACAACCAAAAACAAACAGTTCAGTCTTGCTTGTAACAGGTACTTCCTCGAAAGCTGTTTTCAGTTGTGTGGCGATTTGTACAGCCCCAAGCAGCAGACAAAACAGTCATTTTTCTCAATTCCCGGAATGAGAGGTATGGGAAAGTTGCTCTCCCCAATATGGCGGCGCTGTTGACGTGTGCTCCAGCGGCCAATAGGGTGTCTATGTATTTATTATGTCTATGGGTCAGACTCTATGTACAAATGAAATGTACGAGAGTCTTGTTGAACCAGGCTACGATCGATTTATACACTGAACAGATTTAATTTTCAGTTGCGGGAAACTGAAGCTCAAGCACGTTCGCTTGATTTGCTTGCAAGAACCAATGAAGTTCATTCTCGTGTTGCGCAGCACGTTTGAGTTTCTGCGAAAGGGTTGTTCTCGTGCGTCAGGTTCGGTTGAGTTTGGTGATCAATGTTTATTATGTGAATAAAAGCCTAAATTGTTGTATCTGTTCATCGTATAAAGTGATATTGTAGAAAATTTGTACTAAACCACTCAATTCATAAGCCCCGTTCACAAGCGACAAAGCGACACGATACCATTCATTTCAATGGGGAGCGGGCGATTTTCTTCGACACGCGCGACAGTGACCCTTGACGACCGGTGGGGCGTGTCTTGTGACGCGACAAAGTTGAGATCTGTTTAACTTTATGCAACTGAAGAGCGGCTTTCGGGAGCGACAACCAATAGGAGTGAAGTCAGTGGAGCGCGTCACTGAGAACGAGAAGCTCATTTTAGCAGTCAGAAACTGCTTGTAGTGTGAACGGGGCTTTACAATCTCTTTATGAACTTTTTAAAGCTTCAAAGTGGTAGTTGCGTAGCTGTCAATGGAGGGACAGAAATTGCTCATTTGTGTTCTGAAGAAGATGAATGAAAGTCTTCACGGGTGAACTATCCCATTAAATGGATCTTGTGGTACATCTCACACTTACCTTGATCGTGCCATTGGTGGCTGCAGAGATCAGTCTGCGCTGGTGTACGTCTAGAGCCATACAGGAAACCTCCTCCTTACCATGAGCGTTTCTTACCTCCATCCTCTTAGTTCCTGTCTTCACATCCCAGACAGTGATTGTGGAGTCAGCACAGGCTGTGATTACCTTGACCATGCACAAAATACATATTAAAAATAAGAACCTATAATGTTCAGTCCACAAACCATCTATCAAACAAACCCAAACACCGACCTGTTCAAGATGAGGATTATAGAGGGCACAGGTGTACGGGCCAGACCTGTTGTTGGTTTTTGTTTTGTTGGACTCTTTCAGTCGAAACTCGGCCAGATAATCCCTGCAAGTCACCAGGAGCACAGGATCCGCAGTCAGGTTGAGGAGCAAAGGAAAGCTGCCCTGCTCTGGGGTAACGCCTGTTTGGATATTGGGGAATTTCACTTGAAATGTCTTTTCGCATTGTTGAGAAGGAATATCCCATATTTCCAGCACCTGAAAGGTGACAGATATAGACCAGAGCTATTGACTTGCATTTCAACTAATAATCTTTGACTTTTATTGCATACAGGCAAAGCATGATTTCCATGTCTAATGCCAAAAAACACTTTTACGCTAATGAAAACCTCACATCAGTGGCCGGATTCACCAAAATTGTGTGCAATTCTTCTTAACTGTTAAATTCTGCTTATTTTCTTAAGAAAATTATGTATTCCTTTTCTCTTAGGATTGTTCTAAAGGCTTAAGAATTTGTTTTAATGAATCTTCTTAAAAACCATCGTAAGATAACCTCTAACTTGTCTTTGATCATCAAAGGTAAGAAGTTTATGGATTTATTGGTTTGTTTTAAATTAATTGTTGTAATTAAGCATTACATCATAACAATAGTTTCATTTTACATTTCTACTACTAGGGATGTTTTCTACGGAGGCGTATTGCATTCACTTGAAGAAAAAAAATCTACTCTGTTTTTCTGAATTAACGAGTTAATTTTTCATGAGAAAAAAAATTGCTCTGTTTTTCTGAATTAATGAGTTAATTTTTCATGAGAAAAAAAAATTTTGCTCTGTTTTTCTGAATTAACGAGTTAATTTTTCATGAGAAAAAATTTTTTTGCTCTGTTTTTCTGAATTAATGAGTAAATTTTTTCATGAGAAAAAAAGTTTTTGCTCTGTTTTTCTGAATTAATGAGTTAATTTTTCATGAGAAAAAAAGTTTTTGCTCTGTTTTTCTGAATTAATGAGTTAATTTTTCATGAGAAAATTTTTTTGCTCTGTTTTTCTGAATTAATGTGTTAATTTTTCGTGAGAAAAAAAGTTTTTGCTCTGTTTTTCTGAATTAACGAGTTAATTCAGAAAAACAGAGCAAAAAAAAATTCCATGAAAAAGTAACTCATTAATTCAGAAAAACAGAGCAAAATTTTTTTCTCATGAAAAATTAACTCATTAATTCAGAAAAAAAGAGCAAAAACTTTTTTCTCATGAAAAATTAACTCATTAATTTAGAAAAACAGAGCAAAAAAAAAATTCTCATGAAAAATTAACTCATTAATTCAGAAAAACAGAGCAAATTTTTTTTCTCATGAAAAATTAACTCGTTAATTCAGAAACAGTAGATATCAGTAATTCAGTAGATTTTTTTTTCTTCAAGTGAATGCAATACGCCTCCGTAGTTTTCTGAATTGACACCAATGATTGATAATGTACACACAGACGCGTAGGGTGCGCGCAATAGGTATGGCGTAGCATACGCACAGACGCGTACCATACCACGTGCCCTTCGCCGTAGCCTGACGCGCACCTCCTCAAAAACTCTAGAACAGAGTAAAGAACCCTATGCTTCATATATAGAACCCCAATGAACCCTTTTTTCTAAGAGTGTAGATAGAGCACCAAAAATATTTTGCATGCTTATCAAGTGTGCACGCTTATGAGTATTACAGTCATATGCAGACACAAAAATATGGCCTTCACTGGATGATCAGCGAATCTTGAGCAAGAATTACCAAACTACACTCGTAAAGTTCTTAAGAAAATATTAGAGAACTTCTAAAGAAGTTACAAACTTCTTGGAATTTGACTTTCTTAAGAAGATTGTCATGAATCCAGCCCCTGGATATTTTATTTCCATTTAGACATTTAGTAGGTGGAAAACTAACAGCGTCCTTAGAGTAGCTGAAGATCTTGCCCAATGCTTCGTGAATAACCACATCCACCACAGAGGTCTGGTGACTGTGCAGAACCGCAGTTGGGGAGGAGGTCACATAGCGGTTCCACACTCTGACAACAGGACCCACTCCAGCTGTTACCAGCAGACTGAGAGAGAAACTGAAGTCACAACTCTTGACTCCCTACAGCAGAGAAAGGAGATGAAGACATACAGTGGTGAATGGGTTTCAATGTTGTTTCATTTTTTTCTGGTAGTCATGTTGCAATTTAGTCTGACTAATAAGTGAGTCACAGCAGTACTCTTGTTTTACACAATATCCAGGCTGATTTTCTTTTCCAGCTATTAAATTTGTAACTACTGTGGGGGTGGCTTATTACTTCTCTTAATATTGCAGAATGGAAAATACAGTCTGTTAATACAGTAAATCAGTCAAAACAACTAAATGAAGATGTTTTATTGGTGTCTGAACACTCCCTTTAAAAACCACAACAACAACCTCTCTGAATCATGAGTGTATATTTAGTTTAACTGTAAATGGTCTTTGACTGCCTTTTCCCATGAAAAACATTTTATGCGTTTATCTATCTAACTGTCTATCAATCCATGTACTGTATCTGGCATAGAGGACAAGTGAAGTATAGCATTATTTACAAACCAGTAATTTAAGAGTTGTCAGTCATTCATAAGATCACTTAGAAAGTGTAAGTAAATACAGGTATATAGCATTTAGTAGTGGTCAGTTAACTATGTTTGTGAGCTCATCTAAAGTGAGGACTATTCATGCCTTGTAAAGCATTTAGAAAGGAGATTTAAATGCACATCAGTCTTCTAAACCGTCAAACGTAACAAACACAACACAGTGATACAGAACATAGAAATATTTAACAGCCTTTAACCCTTGTGCATCCTTATGGACATTTTTGTCCTTTTCAGTTTTGTTTTTTTGATCACTTTGCCTGTGTTAAAGCTAACTGCAAAAAACTTTGCACAGGTGTGTATTTTTATTGGAATTTTACTATTTCACCGTCATTTTCTTAAAAAAATATTTTTTGCATTAGGTACAAAAAATACTCCCTCTCAGCGCCTTTTGGACAAAAATGTCCCCATTGAAACCCATTAAAACTGCCATTTTTAATCCCCGGATCAGTTAACTATAAAATTATGCAATCTTTGTTAAGAGGCTTTCATTCTGATGGCAAGGCTTCAAAATTTAATTTTTTACTATTTTTTATCAGATGTTGCCATTTTTTTTAAGTTTGGCCAATAAAACAAATATCGCTTTATTCCTGTTTTCTGGTTCGGCATATTATAGAGCCAACTGGATAAATTATGCAACAATATTTGTGTGGGTGTGTTGGTATGGATGTCAGAGTGTGGTTAGTATGTGTGTTACAAAAAAATATGTGTGTGTGTGTGCGTGTGTGTGCGCATGTGTGTGTTTGTAATACTGAGAGAGAAAAACTGCAAATTCCAATCCAATCACTGTGAGCTCCAGTGGGGTTTTGCTGGCACCCAATGGGGAAAACATGTTACTACGCCCAAACAAACTGTTGCCGAAAGCTCATTTTTTGAGATATCATCCTCAATTTAGAACACAACCTATTTAGATTTATGGCTTTGATTTTATTGCAGTTTTGAGTTCAAACCTGATTTAAAAAAATATATATTTTATATAAAATATTTTTTATAAATATTTTCAAATAACTTATACCTATATAACTTTTTTTGGATTTACTTATTATTATTTTTTTACTTCAGCAATAATCTGCAAAGGGTCTTCTTTAAAATGATACCAAACTTAAGTCTGTGCTCCAAAGCGTCACATTTTTATGAGTTTTTTGACATGGACATTTTTGTCCTCTTTTTACCTATGTGTAACTTTTTTTAAATTGATGCACAAGGGTTAAATATCCTTTATAAATGCTTTACAAGGCTTGAATAGTCCTCGCTTTAGATGAGCTCACAAACATACTTAACTGACCACTACTAAATGCCTTATAACTACCCAAAATTATATGTAATTTTAATAATAACAATAATACCCAATAATAACATGTATGAATGTACATTTAAATAGTTTATTAATCATTTACCTACACATTCTAACTAATCTTATGAACCACCTAAAACTCTTACATAACTGGCTTATAAAAAATGCAATTCTTCATTTAGAAATGATTAATTGATCATTAATAAGGGATAAAAATACAATTATTAAACAAATTATAGATATGCTTAGTTTTAAATCAAGAAGAAAGCATTTATAGCTGTATTTATAAACTGCTTATTAATGTCTATTAATGCTTTATGAATGATGAATAAACCGTTTACTCATGCTTAACTAATGATTATTAGCGTGTAGTTATTAAGTGTTACCATATTGGGTAAATTCTGTACAATACAATCAGTGTTGGGTAAGTTACTCTAAAAAAGTAATTAATTACTATAGTTACTAATTACTTCTTCAACAGTGTAATTAGATTACTGTCCTAATTACTCTCTTTAAAAAGTATTTAATTACTAATTACTTTCAAAATCCCATATCAATCTCAACCAGCTGGATAATACAAGGATAGACATGAATCTGTTTTAATTCTTTCAAATAAATACTATACTAATAAATACTAAATACTAATATACAAATAAATACTAAAACTGACCAAGGTGGAGAAGGTTACATTTTAAAAAACATACTTTTTAACATCAGACAATACATTTTGATGTTAAACCCACTATTGTTTTATGTCTGATCTCATGACATTTCACACTTTTTTCATACATATTTTACAATAATTCATACGAATTTGTACGAGTGCGGTCGTACAATTTAGACACCTCACAAAATCATACGAATCGCTGGGATCGGATTGATCTTTACACAGTATTTACCTCAATTACATCAGAACTGTAATTAAATTACAGATAAATGAAGAGTAATCCCTTACTTTACATTTTCAAGGGAAAAGTAATTAAA